CACGACAGCTTATTGACCGCATTCTACCTATTATAGTTTGCTGGCAGATTTGGAAGGCAAGGAATAAAGCAATGTTTGAGGGTGTCCAGATGCGATCGTCTGTTATTTGTCATCTCATTTTCTCGGAAATTCAGTCTATCGTGGGGATCCACTTCAAACAAGTTTTTCGATTCCAATCTTTTTGTCATTTGTATGATCGATCGGATGTGTCTGTCGGTACGGTTGCATACAAATTTGTTCGATGGGAGACAAAGGAGATAGGACGGCTCATACTTAATACGGATGGATGTTTTAAGGGTAATCCAGGAGTGGGTGGAGGTGGAGGAGTTCTTCGGAATCCAACTGGTTCACCACTGATTGCCTTTTCGGCTTATTTTGGAGAAACTACATCTCTCCGTGCAGAAGCTTGGGCTCTCCTTATCGGTCTTCAAACGTGTAAACATAGGGGATTCGAAAATATAAGTGTGCAATCAGATTCGCTGCTCTTAGTTGGGATCATTCAACGAAGCACTCAATGTCCGTGGCAGATTCGAAGGGAGATCAAGCAGATTTGGAAGCTCCTGCAGGAACCTATTCATTTTTCACACTGCTATCGAGAGGCTAACACAGTTGCTGATGCGTTGTCTAATGTGGGCGTTTCTCACCCACATCAAAAGGTCAAGGTATATGACAGCTTTACTATGTTCCCAAGGGAAGCTCGTGGGGCAATTCGCCTTGACAAATTAGGTTTACCGTCAATTCGGAAAATAAGACGTATGTAACACGAATTTATGCTTTGTAATTTTCTCTCATCAATAAAATAAAAAGTTGTTAAAAAAAAAAAAAGAACCCTATGCAATCTTTCAACATTGAATAACCAGTTGGTCCTGAAAAGCAAAATCAAAGAGTAAGTTTAATGCAAGGACAACTTAGTGGTACATGAGAACCTAATTTCATAATATTTATTCTAAAACATTCCATACATGGGAAAGATTAAAACAAATAAGCAAACATAGGCCACCTGGCACTAAATTAGAAAGCTATCTGCCAAAAGACGGCAAAGGCAAGAGCTTTAATGCAAGGCAATGTAGATGAAATACATGCAAATCGTCCACCAAACTATTTAAACCTAAAATATGAACAATATGTAATAGAATCTATGACCCGCAAAACATGGAAACCAAAAAAAAAATTTCAGGAGCAAGACCAATTACAGTAAAACTGATGCTAAAGTGGAAGAGAACTGCAGAGAAGACAACATACACGAAAACAAAGAAAAATCACCACCATACCATAATCCTGAATAGGAAATCGATGGTTTGTCAAAACAAAGAATTTTGAAATCAAAGCCAAAACCAACAATTGAGAAAAAATTAAGAGGCTTACGCAAGTAAATCAGTGGTCTATCACTTCCCAGATCAAAATCTGGAAATGATTTGAAAAATTACTGTAAGGCAATAAAGCTTCCAACAGTTGCTTCAACGGCGACTGGTCGTGCTCTTTGGACCACAAACTGGAATCTTGAACTTGAATCATATGCCATTCACCTATTTTTTTACCCCCAGAGATAGCTTTGAAAAATGAATTTGCAAAACGTTGATGAATTCGTAAGATTATCAAGAAATAATTTGCAAATTTCAATAATAGAAAGGCTACAAGTGAACATAAATACTAAAGTCACAACCTATTACCCTCAATCTTAGTAAGTATAGAACTCCTCAATTGTTACATCCCTAAACGATAATGAGCAAAAAAATACAATTTATTGTATCATGAAATTTAATCGAGTAAAATAGTAAGAGGTCAAAGAGGAAATTTTATACAAATAACCATGCAACGAAATTACTAATTTGTAAGGTAGTTTAAAAAACATAGGGAACGAAAAGAAGGCTTACCTCTCTGTCGAGAACATAGATCTCATGAAATTTGTCATGGCCAGACAAAACCTGAAACAGGAGTAAACTATAATCTACATAGAAATACTAACGAGAAAAAAGAAAGCAAAAGACCATCATGTAAAAAAAAATTTCCAAGATTGCACTGGAAGGGAACATGTATCTAAATTTTCAACTACACATCTAAAAATAAATCTAGAAAGCCAATATATACAGAAAGATATTTATTTAAAAAAAAAAAGATGGCGAGGAAAGAATTCAAGGTAAAATTTAGGAACTGATTATTAAAGGGAAAAAACTTTGATGCTTCACCTTTCTGATGAAAGGAAACACCATAGATTGATAATTCTAACGGGAAAAAGCGCGAAAAAAAAATATAGAGGCGAAAGCTAAGAAACAGAAAATCTGGCTCCAACCTTAAGGATCTTGAGACCGGAGGAGACTCTTGATACTCTGATTTCTTCTGCACCACTGATGGTATGAATTATAATGCTCTCACACTTTCAAAGTGAAATCACAGCATCGCATCCTCTCTTTAAAAAAAAAAAATCTTTTCTGCTTGGACCACTGGCTTTCCGTTTTCGTGCTTTTGTTTGCCATTTTCTATATCGAGTTGGTTGGATGTATTATTACGATAAAGAAAATGAAAGGAACAATATAAGAGCCACAAACATGGCCAAAATAACAGGAAAGAAAAAACTAAAAAAATATATAGAGAACAAAGTACAGAGAGAAAAAATGCAAGTCCAACCTTAACCCTCTTGAGGCCGGAGGAGACCCGTAATACTCTAATTTCTTCTACACCGGGGAAAAAAATTTACACAATCTCACTTTCATCAGGATGCTGAATGTTGGAAGACATTTCCAAATTTTTGGACCTGCAACATCACAAATATATACATATTATTTATATGTTAAAATTCGACTGGTAAACCCTCTAAAAAATCCAAAAGACTAGAGAAGTCTTGATGATGAGAAAGAAAAAGAGTCTTACAAGGAAAAAAAGGTCCAGACCATTGTGTTCTTGTTGTTGCTCCCGGTCAGAATCCAAAAAAAAAAAGCGCCAAGAAAAGAAAAGAGGAAGAAGATGAGACAAATAAGAGAATGATTGATGGGAAGATGAACTGAAGAGTGAGACAACGACGAAGAAATGAGAGAAACAATGGGCATTTCTGACTCCTCGGGCTCAACCCCATGGGGTAATCCCGATAAGGTAAAGGAAAAGAACAATAAAAGGGCACAAACATGGTCAAAATTACAAAAAAGGCTAACCAAACATTAATAAATGGACACACAAGTCTCCAAATTTACGGGCAAAACCTGACCACCAAGGGCATTATAGAGAAAGAAAATGCAAAGTCAATATCAGAAAATTCAGGAGCCACAAATTTCACCTTTATGCCACATTGGAAAGACCAAAATATCTCATGAAGTCATTCGAATTACCATCGAAACCGGCCCATGGATGCACTGTAGCAAATGGGCGTTCCCCCTTTTATATATTTTAGATATACTAGTTTTTTAGCCTCGACGCTATGCGTCAGTAGTTGAAACTCATTATTTTGCTGTTATGTTTGTGTGTTTTTTTTTTCTTTGTTAGATATAATAGTCATGTGTGTGAGTGTGTGTTTTTTCTTAATTGCACAAATAAACACGACTTTGAAATCAGGTTATCTTACATTCTTAATATAGCATTAATCAGTAAGTAATGCCTAAAATTCGACAGAACTAAAAGGCATGATTATTTAACATTCTTAATGTAGCATTAATAAGTAATTAATGCCTACAATTAGGTAGAACTAAAAGACATATGGCTATACATGTCTCCTAATCAAGATTTCATATTGGATCCTATTCTTTTTGTTGCAATTCAGATGATTGTTTGATTGATAGATTAAAAGTGTTCAAGAATTGAGGAAGCACCAATGGTTTCTTTGGACAGAACATCATCTATTGAAAATGATCCTGGACTCTCAATATTAAACAACTTTAAATTGCAAGGGTGAATATACATATTTTCTTATTTTTCTTTCTTTCTTCCCTTTTTTAGGCTGTCTATCTCTTTTTTTTTTTTGGAGATTTTGATAATTTTGGTTTTGATAATTTGTATGGGAGGCAACACTTTATGTGGTAAGTACAATGAGTATGGAAGAAGCTCTTTGAATTTTCACTAAGATAATGGCTTAGATATATACAATATCTAATAATTTCTTGAGCTCAAAATTTTTCATTTCTACTTTCTAGGTTATTTGGATTTATAATTCTTAATTATTTGATGATTCTTTCTCTTACTTGGTTGATGATTTTTTTTTTGGTAATCTGTATCATAAACTGCAAAATTATAGGTTATTTTGTGTTCTTAAATCATGTGCTAAAATAGGTGAGTTTCTCTTTTTCTTTTCTTTTTTAATAAAAGTGGTATTCAAAATCAAGAGATAGTTGGAAACTTTAAATAGTGAATTCCAAATCAACTTGTGTTTAAGGATGGTTAGAATAAAATGCTAAAAAATAACTGGTGGAACTATTCTATCAAATGGGGTGATAAACTCGTGCTTAGGGTTAGAAAATATGTATTTATTGAATCATTTTTTCATACTCGAAAGAAAAAGGTTGGGCCTACTGTAAAAGTTCAAAAACTATAATCCATTGCTTAAATTGCATTTTTTTATGACGAAAGTTTATCCTTTGCAAAAAAAAAAAAATGTTTACATGGGGATCCTTATATATATATATATATATATATATTGCAAAATAGGTGGACCCTCTAACCATTTTAACTGAAGAAACAACCGGGCAACGGCTTGCAGAAAGTGCAAGGTTACATCTCCCACTCACCACTAATCTTAATTTGTGAAGCGGTCTTAATTTCCATGCAATAAACTTCGCAAACACAGTTAATTTAATTTTTTTTGTTGGTAAGAGGAGTTAATTTTAATTTGATGGTCCTAATTTTAATGTAATATATTTCGTACAATTGGACAGTTAACCACAAGCCAGTCTGATATCTATAAATTTTGCTCGCAAAAGGAAACGCACACCTGAAGAAGGAAATTAAACGCACACCAACCATTCCAAAAAATTTGTTACCCCACTAATAATACCAAATGCCCTCAAAGTTGGTGAAAATTACTGGATAACCCACTCCGGCACAAGTGAATTTCCAGCAAAACCATTGCCATCCAGTACCAAAAGACCAAAACGCCCCTCAAAGTCACAAGAATCACGGACATAAATTAGAAGAGAGCCGAGAGCCACCTGGACATAAGTGACAATGTACAACAAAACCACAGCCACCCATCATCAAAGGACCAAAAGGCCCCTCAAAGCCAGACAAATAACGGCATAACCGGCTTATCCTGCACTGTTCATAAGGAGTTGGACGCTTTATATATGTAAGATTTCCTTTTCTTTCATTATAAAAATTATTGCTACTATAGTTCCGAGAGACCGGAGTTCTGAGAGTGAAGTTCATTAGGCTATTTACGGTCAATATAGGCCATTTTAAAGATGTTGGACCCACCAAGGCCAAAGTCATGGCAACCTTAGGAAAATGAAGTAAATTCTAAACCTATCAACGATAATCAAAATTAAATATTTTGTTAAAGAAAATTGTCTTCTTTTGTTGATTTTAAAATATAATTCAAGTTTAAGGATGAGATAAACTTGACTATTGGGTGACTCTTGAAAATGTATTTTGTAGCAAAGTCTATTCAAATGGGTTACCAAACACTTATTGTTTAGTTATTTTTTCAAATGAATTTCCATCTCCAAAGAATTCATTAAAAATGGGGGTAAAGTGAGACAAAAAAATGGTTAGGGGGTAAAGTGAGAAATGAGGTATACTTTAAGGGGATTAATTATGATTAACCATTAATTAAATGATTGTGAGATGCATCCTCATAAGTCTTGGAGTCTCACTTCAACTTGAAAAAAAAAAATCCAAGTTCTTGAATTGTGCCGAAATTATTACGTAGTCCTATGTTCTTTTTCCCAGCTAGGTCAGTGATAACAACACTAAATGGTAATAGGTAATTGTAAATCTCTCCTTTGGCTGTTAAGTCTTTCCATTTTCCTCTTCCTTCTTATAAGGTTTAGTGTGACTCTTTTAAGAGAATAGAAAAGTGTTCTCTTGGATAAATGATCACTTCATGGTTCGGAGTACTAACAAGTCAAACAAGTATATTTACAATAACAAGTCAAGTCAATGATAAAATTAATTTGTCCCAAAAAAAACTGATTTAATTAATTACAAACAAAATATAAAGAGTACAAACAATTAGGTAAGTATTTATAGACAATTCTTACTTCTTAACTTGGCTTATGAATCTTCACAGGTTCTTGTTGTCAGATTCAGTTCCTCTCTTCAGTGGATCCCCTCTTCATTTCTCACAATGCCCATCATAATTAGATACATGACATGTGTTTTATTTATTAGGAAGGAACACGGTCATCATTAAATTTGACTAATCCTAATCTTTACCGATAAATGAAATAGGGGTGTAATGTATTTATGTTATGCATTGAAAACAACGGAAAAGGGATCCACTGGAAAGAGCCAAATCCCTGGTTGTGGACCAGACCAATTCTTCTTGACTAAATCTTCACAGGTCCTATTGTTCATTAACTACACCACATTAAATACGATCCCCTGACTCATTCACTGGAATATTTCTAAACCCTGAAATGGTTTTGAAAATTAGGAATCTCGAGACATGATATCTCATGAACGTATTCATGCATTTAAATGGTAGGGTACAACATCTCACCAAAGAAGCAAAGCACTGTAACCGTCCCTGTAACCCCAATAGAGAGCCACCTGGACATAAGTGACAATGTACAACGAAACCACTTCATCAAAGGACCAAAAGGCCGCTCAAAGCCAGACAAATAACGGCATAACCGGCTCTTCCTGCACTGTTCATAAGGCGTTGGACGCTTTATATATGTAAGATATATGTCAAGGGCTAAAAACTGCCATGAGAGCTTATATGTTAATGGCTTTCACTAGATTCTCACATTTCATTGCTACTTTTGTTTCAGCTAATGAAACGTTGAGATGCTAATGTCCAAAAGCTAGCATGAAATTATAATTAGAAAAAGGGCAAATTACACTTTATCTCCTACGATTTAGTGTTTTCGTATATAACCCTCCTATAGTTTCAAAAGTTATATATAACCCCATCATGGTTTGGATTAAAGTGTCAAAATGACGAAAATGGTTTTTCGTAATAGAACCTTTAAAAATATTGAAATTACTCTTGTTTAAAAATTAAAATGACTGAAATGACCAAAATATATAAACATAATATGCATGACACACTAATCCCGCATGGTTTTATGTTTTATCATATAATTAATGTTTTACCATATAACTCTCTTATGATTTTCAAAATATACATATAACCTCCCTGTGATTAATAAATAATTTTCAACTTTACATAAGTATATTTTTGAGATTATAGGTGACTCCATTATGGATTGCAAATTCCGTTACTTTGACACTTTAATCCAAATCATGTAGGGGTTTTGTATAGCTTTTGAAATCATAAGAGGGTTATATACAAAAACACTAAACCACAAGAAGTAAATTGTAATTTGCCCTTAGAAAAACATAAAAGACAATATCAAAATCCTGATCCTTGACATATATGGTAAGATCAAATACACAGCTGTTCTCTTGTATTTCACAGAACAAATTAGAGAGGCTTACAGACTTGATCACCAAACAAGACTGATATATTATTCGCAATGACCAAAATAGAAAAACTCTTATCCAGCTAAACTGCAGTGTCATCACAACTCTCAAGTGGCTTGACTTGTCGATGGGTTTCGAGATGATATGACTTGCAGACAAAGTAGACGATAGTCTGGACGACCAATCCAAAGAGAATCAATGTGCAAAGTGACCAAAGACAAATTAAGCCAAACGCAACCCTCTGCAGCATCAACAATGAATGCCCGTATACAACGGTCTTTGCAAACAAAATATGTAGCAAAGCAAAAGAGCAATTCAATTGACAGAATATGAACATTGTCATTACCAACCTTCCTTTGATCAACTGCTTGCTCTTGATCATGGCTTCAAATCCATACGAATCTTCTAAAACCGATACAACACTAGCCAACTGACAAATCACTGTCATATAAACAAAACCCACCGCGTAAACTGGCAACACAACTAGGAGAAGTTTTTGCGTGAACTGATATTTTCCAATTGTAATAGCTGATAGGAATGTTGTGATCACTGCAATGGTAACGCTGTACACCAAGAAAGAAAAGAAATTGCATAAAAAAGTGACCGTTAGCCTTTCCCAAGCCTGTGGCACGACATTTCTGACCTTCTTAAAACTTGGTTGATTATCACCAGATCCATATACTGATGAAGCTGTAAAAACCACTGTAGAAGTTGACATGTTGTAATAGATGATCAGGCAGCTGAGATAAACAACCATGAAAAACCAAAAGAAATCCCATCCGAATGAAGGGAAATCAGGGAGGTCACCAGAGCTTGTGAAGGTCAACGCAGATAAGTCCTTACTGGCTATCAAAATGAAGCATGACAAAGGTAGGATCAAAATAAAAGTGATGTCTCTGAAAGTTTTTCTGCTTCTAGAGATGATCCTATATGCTTCTGTGTAGATATCGGCTAGACCCATGAGGTGCATCTCCTCTACTTTTGTGTTCATGGTAAACCACCGCCCTACTTGCTTTGGAAAATGTCAATTTGGTAACAGCAAAATGCGATGATATTCGAGAGAGAAAACTGGTTTCGTACTTCTTACTTCTTGGATTAAATATTGAAGAACAAATTTCCTTCTTTATAAACTGGTTTAGAAAAGGGTGAAGTGTACCATAATCCGTTGTTGTTCAGTAATTAAACACATATTTCCCTTCTACTTTTCAAACTTATTTGATTTGATTGATAGCCCCTTCGAATACAAGTGTGATATCAATGGAAACGTGTAATTGACGTGCCCGTTAATTTAGCATTCTGTCACCATTTTGGGCCCAAAAGTACTCGACAGTGGGTTAAAATAGAGCCAGGAAAAGTTGAAGGGTCAGATTGAGAACTTTGATGAAATTACACCCTAGATTTTATTTTTTGCTTAGATTTCAAAATTGGAACACAGCTTTTAATATATCTCACTGGATGGAACTATATCTCAAGTGAAAGTTTTTTTTTTTTTCAAGTGTAAGTGAAAGAAATAGAATCCGAAACCTATTACTTACACTCTTTAATTATCTCGTACCATTCAATTCATCTCTTTTTCAAGTGAAAAATGATTGTTTTAACACATTTTGCAAAACTTCCACCAAAATTTTCCTTCAAATAAAGAAAGAAATTGACATGAAATATTTCAAAATTTCGTGAGACAACTTTGAACTATATGACTTCTTTGTTTTTTTCTTTTTAAATTTCCAGCCTCAATAGATGTATAAAACCATTCGCTCCTATTGTTTATTATTTATTTTCTTTTTTTTTTCACCTTTATTAATGCTTCCTTCAACTTCTCCTAATAAGCATATCCATTTTAAAATGTTCACTTACACTGGACAAACCAAAAATACCTATTTAGTGTCTATTAGTATCATTTATCTTTTTATACATTAAACACTTCCCCTAATCAAATTTAATTTAGCTCGTGTCTTGATTGTGGCAGTAATGTGTTATATATTATATTTTTTAGGTATAGACACAAAAATAGGGACATTCCAGTATGCCCCTATTGCACATGATGATATTTTTGTTCAACATAATAATTCAAGTTGAGGAAAGGACTAAAATTATACCTTTTAATTAGTTAAGCGGCAAAATTTTATCCGTTAATAGTTGTATGGTGAAAAGTTGAATTTTATAATACTTTGAGGGCTACTATTTCTAGTAGACATAAACTGACGAAGCGCAATTTCCCTGTTTCGAGTTTAAGTACCAATTTTATAAAATTTAGCACGACTGACGAAACACAAGTGTCTGCTCCCATGTCTGACGCTGACGCCACCCAACCGCTGCCGTCAGTGCCGCCGGCTATCCAGTCTCAGTTGCTGACTGCCCAGAACTTGGGGTACCATTTACAATCAAACGAGCATGAAGCTACACTATTGGTTCGTCATCTTCCCGAAGCAATTCCTCAGGAGACCCTTTCTCGACTCTTCTCCCACTACGGCGCCTCTTCTGTCCGGCCGTGTTCGCATGGCAGGTCATGCTTATGATTTCATTCTCCCATTGCCCTTACATCCTAGCTGCCTTTTTTTTTAAAAAAAAATATTTCTTGATTCCATACTCCCAATTGAAATGGAAAATCTAAATTTTTACTTTTTGGGTGAAATTTCAGTTTGAGATGGCTAGGGTAATTATAGTCTTCTTGATATTTGGTCATATGCTGCTGTTGTAGTAGTAGTGACTGAATCAGTAAAGACTTCTGATTTTGCAGGAAGGGATTTTTCAAGTAGTGTTATTTTTGTCTAATAAAATGGGAAAATGTTGATTAGGGATGGGAGAGGTTACAAAGTTGGGTTATTTACACTAAGATGGATAGTTTTGTTCTGAATTAAATGGTTTCGATACAAGAATTGACTTTGAAGTCGATTTTGAGAAATGGACTTCTCTTTTTGTTCCTTGTCCAGTTTACTTTTCTTCTTCTATGTAGGTCCCCGTTAATCATATGAGTGGATTGTTGTCAATGACACCTGTTGTCCAAACATTCACTCTGTTCATCCTTTTCCCTATGGCTAAAACGAAAGTATCATAAATGTAGTTTTACAATTTGCTTTGCTTGTTCTAAATCTGTTGTTGTGATCAAAGTCTTTAGGCATTTAGTTCAGTAACTTCTGCAAGAGATATGCATAGTAAAACTCTTTTTGCCTAGCTGCAGTTTGTTTCACCGTTATGATTTCTTGTGTGGAATTCTGGTTGTGGATAATTTGATCATTACATTGTGTATTATGACAGGGTCAACTTTATTTTATTTTTGAATTGGATATTAACTTAATTTGTAACCTCTCGTACCTTACTTCCCCATAGGGTGAGGAATTCTGCTTTTGTGGATTTCAAGAGTGAAGCTTTGGCATCTCAAGCACAGAAGCAGTTGAATGGGTATGAATTTATTTTGTCTCTAAGTGCTCATGAAATATCCTTGTACTAATAATTTTTTATTCTTATCTTTTAAATTATAGACTTGATTTAATTGTCTAAAAATTTTGGTTGTCAGGTTGCGATTTCTTGGCAAAGTCTTGTTAGTAGAGAGAGCATGCAAATCCATGAAAGATAAGAAAAGCCAAGAGGACGAGAACAAAAAGAGAAGTGATTTGGATTCTTTGATAGAAGATGCTGCTGTTGGCAGGCATCAAAGAGAAGGATTCAAGTTAGGGTCCTCGCTAACTAGTGAGCCAATTGCTGAAAGGCTTGGTGTGGACTACCCATTTCCTCCTTACCTTGAGTAGGTTTCTTTTTTTTTTTTTTTCCTTCTCCCATAAGGTACTTTTTTCTTTACTAGAGGATGCCACTTTGCTTAGCTACATAAGCATCCCCTCCTTTTCTTGTCTCTTATCTGGGCTCTTATAGGCATGTGATAATGTTGGCTTGTGAATTTATAGGATGAAACTGGATTAGCTTTTGGCAAATACTTTTTTCTTTTTTTTTTTTATAACTGCACCAAATAGGTGCAACCGGTGCCCTTCAAAGCAATACTTTGTCATCAATTCAGCTTCAGGTATAGAACAGATTCATTTGATAACCTTGTTGTTCTTCCATATTGAGCTTCAGAATATGTTTCCTGTTCTTTTAGTTAGATCATCAGCAAGAAGTGCTTGAGTGGCAGAGAAAGCATCCCACTCTTGACTCTGAAATCTTTTTATTCAATTGTAACATTATATTAGCCAAGTTCAATACAGAAAACTTGACCAATTTCAAGCATTATATTAGCATCTCAGAAAAGTCCTAAGCAGCAGGAAAGGCCACAAATTGGTTAATTGTGGTTTACTGATCTGGTTGCAATGTAGGTACGCATATCCCCCTCCTGATGGGAATATCCTCACCAACATTGTAAATGCGCTTATTGCTGTTCCACGGTTCTATACACAGGTTATACATACATTTCAATTCTTTTTCTTTGTGCTCTTTGTTTAATAATCAGAACAGAATACCTATAGCAACATCAGATTAATGACATTGATGTATTTATTTTAGGTGTTGCACTTGATGAATAAAATGAATATACCAGCTCCATTTCGTGTGGCACTTCCAACACCACCCCTTCCAACTTTGGTGCCTGCTTCTCCAGTCCCTCCACCACCTCCTCCTGTTGCTACAAGAACTAACATGGAAGATGTATCCAGTAGCGAATCCGAAATGGAGTCTTCAGATGAGGTTTTCTCCTGCTTCCAAATATTGTTGTTTATGATTTGTTTGATATTTGCTGTAAAACCTTAAAGTTCCTGTATGGAAGGATTGAGCACTAAATTCTTTCTGAGGGTAAAATTCATGAGGTGAATTTGACAGGTATTTCTAGAGGCTTAAATCCATCACCAGCTGGGCTTGGAAATCAATTTTGGTGCTAAACTGTTTTTACCTGTTGTTTTGGTTTGAGTTTTCTGTGTCTGTCTAGGACCTCTTCCTTCTCTCCTTTAAAAGCATATAGCTATCGATCTCTAGCACAGAATATTAATTCACATTATCTTTTACAGTTTTATTTCCAAAAAAGTGTTGAATATTAATGCATATAGTTATGAGTTTAGGTAGGATCATTCATGCTTCTCATTCTCAAAATGCCCCAAATAATCCTTTTGATCCAGGGAAAAATTATTTTTTGTCTCATCTGGGGGTTGACAGTTAGGGCAATTTACATACTGCTGGAGGCTTTATTTCCTTATGCTAAATTTGAATTATGGAAACTTCTCTTTTAAGAAAAACAAAAAACAGCTTGGAAATCCACTTCTAATGCAATTTTCTGAAAATAAGCTCTTCTCAATATGCTACATTAAATTTTACCATACTCATCTTGGGATTTCTTTTTTGTATCCCTGTTGCTCATTGAAAAACTAGCTATATTTTGAACTTAATAGTTTTTTGTCTACATGCCTGGTAATGCTATAACAAATTTTGTTTGCAAAAACAATTATTGTTTACTTGTCAACCAAGCACAAGATAATTGACAAATTTCAGTTATTCTAAAGAGCAGTGAGAAGTCAGAGTCTATTACCGTCTCAAAATGCTAATTAGATTCAGGCATTTGAACAAATGTGTATTGCTCAATGTTACCTTCTCTTTTAATTGCCTGTTACCTACATTTTGAATTTGCCTTCTCCAGAGGATGACATTCTTTCTGCCATCTGTGATTGAACTGAAACTGTGCCTATTTTGGACTAAAACTCGTGAAGACACTTCGCTCCTCTACCTGCAGTCAAGTTTTTTGATTGCCTTCAAAGTCTTGGGTTTTGTATTCTCTTACTCCCTGGATGGATATATACATGCAGGTCGAACTCACTGCTTTTGGAATGATAGTGAATTTTTTCCCTTATCCCCTGATTTTTTTGGCAATAAGAGGGATATACGACCATAATTCTGTCTTTTCTACCCTTTTTGGCTCACAGAGGAATATCATGGCTGCCATGGACTTGCCTTCTGTTTGACTATGAGGGTTAATATATTCTGATTCCAGTTTTTGTTTGGCTTCACTGTTTTCTTTGTCTCCATGGTCTTAAGATCTTGGGAAACTCTTGTTTGAAGTAATTAGAAACTCAGAAGAACTCTGAGTCTCTTGCTTTGTGTATGATGAGCTTTTCTTTCATTTTCAGTATTGGAAGGAAAATATATATTGATGGAACATTACAATTTTGAATTTGATGTCTCAGGAAGCTCCAGGAGAGGGCAGAGCTAAGGCAAAGCGTATCAAGCGAGAAGCAATTGTAGGTCCTGCAGTTGACGAGGACATTGGGCATGAGGCTGTTGGATTGAAACGCTCTGCCTTACTTCCAAAAGAAATCCCAATAATAAAAAAGAAGAACCCTGTGCTACAGGTCAGCACCTTCCTTCTTAGTGAGTTGTGCATTGGAAACCTTTTCTTGCTGCAGGTTTTGGGATTCTTTTTTTTTATGTCTTGCAGATTAAGATAGCACCAAAACAGATTCAGAATGAACATGTGGGTGATGCAGCTCAGGAGGAATCACTGAAGCCAGACAAAGAGGCCTCACATCACGAACCTTATGCGACGGTAGAAGAACTAAAGAGGGGAAAACTGCCCCCTGAGGAGATTTTATCTTTGCCTATGTTCAAGGTATTGCATTCATTGTTTTATATTGTTTCTAAGTTATAATTTTTTTATACCATGTAATTACCATGAGAAAAGAGCTGAAAAGGATGCCGGTTTAGTAGATTATCAGATTTCAACCAAGTTCCTGGCATCTAGAAATTTTTCAGACACAGTTCCACGAATTGGACAAGTTGTTATGTGGTATGTTGGTAACATAGTCTAATAGAGTAGGATGATGCATAGGCCTTCAGTTTACTGTAAGTTAATTGCCCCTTTGATATCTAAATAGTATGTATTTCCAATTTTCTGGACATGCTTAGCCCACTGGAGAAGTGTGCATGCAGGAAGTTAGTAGGAACACCCTTTTCTATTGAATATGTTTGCCACAAATATAGCTCTTCCCTCATAAGTATGAAAATTTATTTTGCAGAATTATAGAGCTGGGAATCCTTCTTCTGTTTTGTACATTAAGAACCTAGCGAAAGATGTGGTAGCTGATGACTTCTACTTTATATTTGGTGAGTGTAAAACTCTCTATTATGCTAATTTTCTGGATGATAATTTATTTATTTTTTTTTTTGGATGATAATTTATTCTTTCATGAAGGCTAAAACAATAATGTTATGAAAGAAGATGTCTCAGCTTCCAGTGGATTTTATGCCATTGCTGTTTAACTTAGCTTCTTTCTCATGGTATGATTTTAGGGTCATTCTTTGGAAGCATTGATGTAGCAAAATCCAGTCTTAATGTGAAGTTGATGCAGGTGAGAAAGCTAACTCACTCTTAACTTCTTAGACCTCCTTCTTGTTCTAAGCAACTAGATTTGATCTTTTTGCATAATATTGTGTAAAGGAAAATGATTAGTGGAAGTGTAATGAAGGTATGGAGTGTTACTAAAATCAATCCTGTAGGTGTGGGGCTTCTCCCTTCTTTGTCTTCCTTTGTTGAGGTCAAAACAGGGGACTAATAGAAGTGTTCACTAATTTGCCTTGATGCCACAGAAGATTCATACTTAATTCAGTGTTTTGGACCTGTTCTATTACCTGCTTCCTGGATCTTTCTAAGGCTGAGGCCTGGAAGGATTATGAATAATTGAATATTGTTGTCTTTTATCAAACTATGTCTTCTTTAGGTTAAGTTCCTCCTATTTGGATAGTAATTTGTGCGAGTTCCTGCTTTTGGTTGAAAAGGGATTTTGCTTAAAGTTTTCACTAATCATTTACATCGGAAATGAGATTTCAAGAGCGTGGAGAATTACAACCATGGTTGACATGTTCTCTGATACTTGTTTTATGTTAGTTACGTAGGTGATAATGTACTTATTTTGACATGAATTTTTGAATCTTCAGGCATGCGAGTCTAAGAATTATTGGTGCACTGATGCTCCTTGCAAATTTTTTTCACATTTTTCCTTCATAATTGATGGTCGAATGCCCTGCTTTCTTGAATTTCAAGAGAAGAAGTTTTTTCTAGATGTTTTTTCAAGAATACATAGGCTTGTCTTGGATGTAAAGGCATGCTTTATAATGATAACAATCTAACCTCCATGAATGTACTCAAAAGTCAACTTTTTTTTTTTTAATAAATGCTTTGCAGGTTCTATGAGCTATTGTTATTTATTGCAACTACAAACTATAATTTATAAAATAAAATAAAAAAAAAAAAAAAAAAAAAAAAAAAACTACCTTGCTTTGAGAAAGAATTTTCAGTTCCTAACACTTTCTCTTCCATTTCCTATGTATCTGGCGCAAATGCTTTATTATCATTCTTGACAAACAAATGCATCTCATTGATTGAGAATGATCGACCAACTTTTTCTTTCTTCTAAAGGGATTTTTATGTCTTCTAGTTTGTGCTTTCTATCCTTTTGTTCCTACCAAATATGCTATGCTCTTGAGTTGCCTAAATAATGTCTTTGACATCCACTCTTGCTACATGTTTTCAGAGCTAGTTTTCTGCTTTATATTTTTTGACTCCAAAATGCTGCAATTATTGTACCTCTTAGGAAGGAAGAATGAGAGGACAGGCTTTTGTTACCTTCCCATCAATTGAACTTGCCCATGGTGCTCTGGTAAGTTTTTCAACAGTGAAGTTTTGTTTCTGCCTTGTTATCTATCTATTTTTTGAGTTAATACAGTATAATTGTTCATGTGCCCCATAGTATTGTTATGTTTGCTCTAATGGCTGGTCCTCAATCAAAAAAAGTGGCACTTGCACTTTATAAAGTTCTTCCCTGTAAAAGCATGAATTGAGCTTTAACGTAATCTAAAGTTTTCCTGCTCTGCTAGCCAATCATTATCTAATTGGGTTGAATAGCTGCTGCCGATAAATTTTCCTATCAATTGAAGTAAGAATGATGAAAACATATCTGTCTGCTCATGGACGATGGCACTGAAAAAAACATGAAAATGATTTTTTCTTTGATGCGCTTATAGAGTCAGTGTGTCAGATTAAAATGAGAGTCAGCTTATTTCTATTGGTACACGAGATATTGGGCGTAGTGGCCTCTTGAAAGCAGAAAGGGAAATTTGTATTCACTCATTCTGCCTACCTTCAGACACTCAAGGACGGATTTCTTTATTGACCTCTAAGACACCGTCAAGATAAAATTGTGTGCAGAGTCCAATTTTGTCTCATTTAAGCTTGTTTACAGGCAAGATTCAAAAAATATTCCATGCTTCAGTCCATGCTATGTGTTACAGGATTTCATAAAAGAATGCATAAGCTTGTGCCTGCTTTATCTATATTTGAAGTCATAAGATTTGTGTTTCTGAACTATTGAGTGCAGAATTTAGTCAATGGGTACGCGCTTAAAGGCAAACCAATAATCATCCAGTTTGGTCGGAATCCTGCTGCTTCTATATAGAACTGAATAGATTTTCTTAAACGCAAGGAAGATCTGTCTCTGGAAGTCAAAAGTGTTGGCTTTATTTCCTCATGGAAACAGGTAAAGTGTTCACATCTTTTGTTGTGTATATGGACATATTAAAGTGCTTTACTGGCTGAGCCTTTTCTCTCAGGTTTACATGCATGTATATCTCTATTGGGGAAATGACTATTTACGTCTAAAACTCTCTGTTTTGGCCACTTTGAAGGCCATCTGCTGTCAGCATTTGGTGTTAGTCCTTGGCCCTTACCATGGAAGTTATAGAAGTTACCTGTTGTGCGCTTTGAATTTAAAAGCTATTATCATGGAATGTCACAAAAAAGTTCTGGGTTTAATGTGGATCAGGTGTTGGCTCATAACGTTGCTGATGATGGAACAGAAATTGGTATTGGAAAATTTCTGCGGGTTAATGTGGATCGGATGTCGGCATTACTTCCTGCAGTGTTGCCAATGATGGAACAGAAGATTGGGATTGGAAAATTTCCTCAATGACAACATCATACCTCGACTGAAGGGCCATCTATCATTAACTCAAAAATCATTTACTGTGCCAGGCATAACTGGATCACAGGATAGATTGTTGAACAGAAATCAAATTTCATGGATCTTCAATTCTTAGCCAGGAACCCAGAAAAACCTGTAACCTTACAAAAGCTATGAGGCATCAGCAATTCAGCATGATCTAATTATTTGTGCACTTACTAGCATATTTCTCCCAACATCCTCCCTCTCTGCCTCTTTCTTATTTACAACTGGTGGATAGGAACTCTAGCATTTGATACATTATAAGCTTGACGCTAACAGCCACAGAAGTCAACACCATAGGGTACTTTCATACTTTAACCGAAAAAACTACCAAAATTCCTTTGACAAGACAGCAAAGCTGCTTTCAAAATTCTCCATTAGCTTCATTACTGACCAGTATACCCAACGGCAAAACGATTTGCGTTGGCACTCAAGCCTGTAGATTGAAGCTGTTTTCGCCTCTTTATAAGATGCAATGCAGTCTTCCTGTCATCATGTGCGTCCACAGAATCTGGCTGCAATGACAATAAGTTGGATACCATTTGAGTACAAAACACGAAAGCCAACACAAATCTGATACAAAATAATGCAGTCACCCAAACAAATGCAATTGACGAACTAGCTCAGGCTGGTGGCTGCCAAGATGCTTGCCTAGAGTCTGATAACATTCAGCACACTTGGGTGTTATATTATATGCTAGAATTATTCTGATTCTAGTTTTTTTCCATCTCGATTTCAAGTTAATCAAGGCTTTTTTTTGTGCTCCACATTTTTTTTTAGCTTTAATTAAAAAAAATGGCTTAAAAGTGTATTAAAAGGTGCACCTGAAATGCTTCTTCAAAATAACCTTTGGTCGTTACAAATTTTTGGAAAAGAGTTGCTTCTCAACAACTAATTGTTTCAGCGGCCTCAAACTATCTACACAAAACAATAAAAGGCAGCTTATTTATACCTAAACAAAAGAACCTCAGCAAGGACACACTAAATGGAGAAACTGATAGGGTTATCCTTAAAAGGAAATAAGCAATGTGTTGTAGATGCATTCATGATGTGATTGATACAGCAAAAATATGATTTACTGTCACAGATAAGTTGCACTTTTATAGCTGGGCAAATCCGTGTATGTATGTAAGTAGAAATATAAACCTTTTCGTCCAAAAAATCAGATTTCCCTGTTTAGTACAGGATAACTAATGAATAAAAAAATGCTCCAAGAAACTTAAAATCTGATGTTTCTTGGTCAAAACTTCGTCATGATTTTCGACCTTTAGAGTAAATGAATTAAGTTTATGTGTACATCATGCTGTTCTATTACTTCATGCAAAGCAGTCTAGAATTAGCCTTTCTCATCTATTGTCCCATTATGGCAATGATACCTCTTAATTCTCATCACTATTCCCAGAAGATAGTCCCATGTAAGGGCTGTTTTCCTTGTACAGCACCACGAAATCCTAGACCATCTGTCACACAACATACTTTAAACTCTAGAGACAGTTTTTCTGGTAGTTGCGTAATCTAAACATTTCAGAGATTGAAGATAGCAAGTGGTAGGCAATTGCAAAAACTTATGTAACATCACACTTTCAGTGTACTGAACCAAGAACAAACACATAATAAATTGAAATCAAGAAAAAAATAATAAAAAAGGGTCCACGCCATCATCATGTTAGTACTGTATAGTCTAAGGCTGGACAAAAGTTTTTCTACCTCAAGATAAATTGCATTCCATCAATGCAGTAAGGTTGTAAATTAACCATGTCGCCGTGGAAGGATACTCAGAGCCCGAGTATATTTACCTTAATAGCTAATGCCCGATCAAAGCTTTCAATGGCACTATCAGGCTCCCCGAAGTTCAATTGCGCTCTACCAAGGGTAATCCATGCCTAAAAAAAATAGAAGTACTCCATTAATTGAGAATTGTATAGTGATGTAGCATAAGTCAGAAATTGGTCCAGCATAGCCTAATGCTTTTGCTACTCACCACATACAAAAATATATACACAGATGGGTATGGAAATAGTAACACGGTCTTATCTCTAATGGGCAGAAAAATTTAAATAACATCATAAATACGCTTATTGGGTACTGTCTGAGGATCCTATTGATGAATGAGGCAGGTTTGGACATCTATCACAAATATCCAGTAGTTTCTAGAGAAGGTTTGGGTTTGTAAAATCAGAAGGCATGTTGAAGGTATGACAGCCATTCAATTGAGTACCCAATACATTCCATATTAGCATACAATCATGACAACAGAATATGATAGAGGTTTATGCAGAACTGAGATTAACAAACCTCAGCCCATGTTGGTTCTAATTCTGTGGCTCCTGCAAAGTATATGTGAAAAGTAATTAGATATAGAACACAATGGCAAATGAAAAAGAAACATAGAAGAGATATGGAACAGACGAGTGACAGCTTTTAGAGCACCCCATGCTTCTCCCAGTTCAAGTAAAACTTGAGCTTTTTGCTCATGCAAAACTGCTCGTTCTGGCATCAAAGTAAGAGCAGCCTCCCACTTGCCTAGTGCCTCACTGAACTTCCCATCCTTCAATTTGAAACAGGCGGTGAGTGGCCAGTCAATTAACTTAGAAAATTAGGAGCTTTTTTACATGTAGAATTTTATAACACATATTAGAATAGGAGATACAAACTGATGATCTGTGCTTGCAGCAGGAAAGTCTTTTACAAATATTCTATCTATGTTTTCATCATCTTAGCACAAAATAACAATACAAAGTAATATCTAGAAACCATATTACATGTCCCAAACATGTTAGCTATTCATCCGGGAAAACCATAAAAGCTTCAATAGGATGTTTTCTCTTCTTAATAATACTAATTTAAGTGATAGAACACTTAACTGGAAGGAACTGTAAAACAGAATTTGCATTAGGCTTGACTCACAACGGCAGGCTCTCCTCTGAATGAATGACTTTTAAACTGTGGTATGTGATGAAAATAGGGAGCTCTACATGGTCAAGCTCAGAGTCGCCTACACTGCCTCATCCTACCGCTACAGTTAGTATAAAATCGTAAAAATTATAGATATACAATCCATAAATACATAAAACAAAAAATTTATGCCCGTTTTCTGAGTGTGTGCATGCACATCCCAAAATTATATATTAGTCCAAATATCCATTGTGCACCAAAACCACCTTAACTACAGCAGAACTCAGTTTTCAAAAGAGGAAAGTTACTGAAAAAGGATAACATGACAAGCTCTCCTCATCTTCTGTAAGGTGAACCCAAAATTTTAAAATCTTCAGATAGTCTATACCAAATGACTATGGAAATTAAATAAATAAATAAAGGGGTAACCTCCATTATCCAAAACTAAAATATAAAAAAATCCCGCCCTTCTTCCTTGCACCCCTTGCTGTAATTGTACACTTTAGATTCTCCAAAGCAAGGAAACCTTTTACATTTGGGTAAGAAAGTAGACTCCACTGGATTAAGAACAATTCTGAAACAATATTATGGATACAGTTGGGAATGTTCACCCATAAGCATTTTGCTTCTTTTCTTGAAAAATGATTGTAACTAAGGGTCCTAGAGTAGTATTACAATAGAAATGGCTATGAATTAAACCTTACAGGCATATAAGTTCCAAAAAGACCTGTTAAACATATAGTTATTTATCACAGCTTAAACATGTGAATTAAACCTTACAGGCATATAAGTTTCAAAAAGGCTGAAGTAGCAGTTACTTAGTAGTCTTGCAGCTTAATCATTTAGTTGGATGACCTAAGGTGCACATTTACAACAAAGCTCTGAAGCAGGTGTATTTACATTAACAAAGTTTATCCTACCTCAATATTAAAATTCTAAAAGCTTCATTTGCTGTTTTCCCTACACATACCACATTTCTTCATACGCTGATTAGTGGACTCCTTCAAAGGAATTCACCCACAGGAAGAATGCATATGCATATGCCTTGATCAGTTAATTCATCAGCAAAACATATAGCAACTAAAAATTTGTTAATATAACCTAGAAGAACAGATGGAAGACATCTATGATGATCACATGTACATAGATGAAATCAACGACCTCTGTACCTAAACATCTAAAAAGAAACTAAGAGCAAGACTTTGTGGGTAAAATGACCTAATTTGGAGGATTTTATGCACACCTGGACAAACAAATTCAGGATCTTAGCCACATTTTAATAAACATTTCTATTCCTAACTGATATATCTTTTTCGTTCCAGAGGAAATTATATCACAAGTCAGTAGAACCTCCACTTCCACATAACATAAACTAAGATAAGAAACGTGTTCTTTTCTTATCAGCCATTTTAAGGCAAAGGCGATTTAGCCTGAAAATCATCATCAACGATCTATTTACCAGCTAAGTCAACCAATGCAGCAAATCCCATTTAGAGTCACAGAACTTAAAAGGGTTGAAAAAGTTTCCTCCTTGACTTTTTTCATGCATTTCAGCAACACTAGAACTAAACAGAGAGCAATAGTGTACTAATTAATTAACAGAAAATCCCTACTTGATCATGCTAAGACTTGCTAATTTCACCTGCTTAACCTGTATAAGATATGAAAACCAAGTAGTTAAGTTAAAAATACAAACACACACGATCACACAAGTCAAAGACTTCAACTTTACCAACCTACTAAAGTTCAAACAAGCCCACATACAAAATAAGCTCAATTCAGAAAACCCAGAAAAAAAAACATTAAATAAGAACTTCAAGGGAAAAACAAATTCAAGTCAAATTAAAGCTTCAAGAAAACAAAAACCCAAAAATATTAAATTGAATAGAAAGTACCTCAGCAAGTTTGTTCCCTTGTTGCTCATAGACTTGAGCTAGCTTCTTCCCATCAACATTCTCATCAGAAACTGAAGTATTCTTCTCAACGACGTCGTTCCCACCAATTTCCTCCTCCTGCAAATTATCAGTATTGGTACTATCTTCTTGTTGCTCAAATGGAAGATTATGTAACTGGGATAAAGGTCGCTTCTTGCTCGTGCTCTTGCTCTGCTTCTTCCAGGTCATCTTCATCGTCTTTCTTTTCCCCTTTCCCTTGATCTTTTTCTTTTCTCCCTCCTTTTTTTGGTTTTCGGGGTTTTGGAGATTTTATTAAGGAAATATAATGAAACTATATATACTATAAATTGCTGTTACCGAAATATTTGGGGGTAATGCTACTTTGACCAGAAAGTTCTGGGGTTTTTTGACAGTAAAAGGACAATTAACCCTTGAAGAGTATAACTTTAAATCAACGTTTTGAAACATTGTTAATTGAATCGGTGAAGTGGCCGGATCGAAATTCAATCAGTCGGATCAGTTCAACTCCAGTTTGATGATATTATATATATACATACATCCATATATATATATATATATATACACACACATAAATACACACACTTGTGCACAGAATAATTCTTTCAATTGTTCAAGACTGTTATCCCATGGACTAATTTAAGACATCACTTGATAAAAAAATTAAATATTTTTAAAAACAAATAAATTTTTAAAATTGTAAATTCAAACAAATAAATTCATCTCAATTGTACCTAATTGGTAAAAATCTTAAATCCCACACAAACCACAACCATATTCTAAAATTAAACAAAATGCATTGGAACTTTTGAAATTAAACAAAATCTAATAGAACTACAAAAGGAAACAGCGATCTTTGAGTTTGAAGATGAGAAATATAGAGAGTTTTGGTTACTCTTTTAGAAATTACAGTTGAGAATAAAAGATTCTTCTATTAAGTTTTATTATGTTTAAAACTTTAAGTTCAATTTTTTTTTTTAAAGGATGGGAAAAATGAAAAAATCGCAGTTCACGGTTGAATCCGGGTTGAATGATCTGACCAATTTTTTTGCTGTTTTAACTTTTTTTTATAAAACGTCAACACTAGTAATAAACCGGATCGAAGACTTGGCCAGTTTGCGATCTGACCAATCGAACCGTCGATCCGGTCTGATTTTCAAAACGTTGCTTTAAATTACAAATGTTTAAAAGAGTTTTGTTATTGACATATCATTTTACCATTAGGATGGTGGGACAAAAATTTTTGTCACTTACAAGAAAATATACACTATTTGTAGGATAGTAAACTCATACCTTTTAAGATTTCTTTTAGTAGGTGAGATATGGATATTCGATTTCAAATTTTCAACAATGTTCTAGTGAAATTTCATTAATTTGTATGCATAAATTTGCTGAAAGTACAAGGCTCAAGAATATCAAACACAGTGATCACTAGAGTATATTAGTGGTATAGAGAAATAAGAATTTTCACATTGATAGAATTCTATTGACTTGTTAAGGTAAAAGCTCTGTAACAAACACGTCGTTAAATTGGAAACAATCATGTTTGTTTTAATATAAACATAAAATAAGTGTTTAGGCTAAAGGTAGAATATAAATATTGTTCTTTTCCTTCCATTGAACCAATGGTTCTTTACTCCTCTTAACTCAATAAACAAGCCCCCTTATTTTATGTTTTACAACAAAAGTGCCCCTCTTATTTTAATTATTATTTTATTTCTTTTTTCTTTTTGTCTACTTGTCCTTTTTCTTCATATATATTTTAACTTTTTTCCTTTCTCTCGTATGACCAATTACTTTATTCTTTTTGCTGTTATTATCTATATATTAATTTTTGATCTTCTTAAACTTAATCTTTTATTTATTTCTATCTTTTTTAAAATTTTTGTTATTGGAAGTAATAATTATCATAAAATATATGCTACAACAAAGTATATACTATCTATGCACATAGACTATTTCATATATTATTTAAATCAATGCATTTAGAATTTAAAATAAATTGATTTTTAATAAAAAAAATAACAAATTCAATGATAATAACATAGTGATTAATCAACTATGTCTAAAAAAATAATAAAAATATTAAGTACTTTATTTTTATGTGATATATATTTAAGTATTAAGTAAATTAAAGTTCTAGTTTGGTAATATCTTTTTAAATATTCAAATTGCTAGTAATATATACTTTTTTAATTATGAAAAGTACATATTAGTTTTATACACTATATAGTTTACCTTGAAATTTTCTAATAGTGTAAACAAATAAAACAAGAATAAATTATAAGTAAAAAATAATTATAATAAGCTTACAAATGAGTAATACTAATAGGAAAGTGAAACAAAATAGTGGCATAAGAGAAGTGAAAAAAAAAAAAGAAATGGTAAAAGAAGTAAAAATAAAAAAATAAAAGAAAGTAGTGGAAAAGGAAAAATAAGGGAATTAATAAACAAAAAAGAAATAAAATAAAATAATAAGGGCAATTTTGTTTTAAAATATCAAATAGAGCGCAAAGTGCTTATTTAATGGGAAATGTACTTGTACTTTGTAGTTTTGTATGTTTATAGATTTCATGGGAAAATAATTTAGATTAAAGCCATTTTGAATATATGATGGGTAATTTGGTTGGAACCCATTCCTTAATTCAATGGAATTATTATTTGATAGAAAATTTCATGAATTAATCTTTCATCATGGGGGTGTGAATAGCTCCCTTATAAAGGATTTTATAGTTTCTGTGGCGTTTAAGGGGCATCTTATGTATCCAAATTGGATTTACGTTCAAGTGAAATCAAACCCATTCATAATTCTAAATGAACTACCATTTGATTGAGAAATTTTCACTTTCTTTTCCTTTAAAAAAAAATTCATAAAGTCCCAGTGATGGGTGGAATTTTCCCTAATGACCTTTGAGAGAATCAAACTTATGAAGCTTGTGTGATTATTGTCATTTAGATAATCTTATTAAATCACAGGTGACTTCACCTAGATTTATTTCCGTTCGAGGGAAATATTTTGAATTCTCTAAGAATTACAAATTTTTATGATCTGAGAATTGATTTCAACACCAAATTGACATTCATTCCATTCCATCCATTGTTACTTGAAAAAGATCATTTCAAAGGTCGAATTTACAAATGAATGCTATGATAATTCTATACATTTACCAAACAAAATAAAGGATCCAAGATTTTCAATTCTATGGAACCAGAAGCAACCTTAGTTTCAGAATTTCGATAAAATTTAAATCTTGCGGCAGCTTCACTGGCTTTAGGTTGCTTCTTCTCTCCAAATTTCGATAAAATCTTGTGGTAGCTTGACAAGTTCCAGTAGTACACACTTCAAAGGTCTTTTGCCACTAAGCCGGCCGGGAAGTCAATGACTGTAAATCTCTGCTACGTTCATATTGATTCGATATACATTTGCTGCTCGATTGACCAAAATAAAATCCAGAGGTTGAACAATGGCTAGCATATTTGACTTGTACGGTACTATTATACAACGAAAACTAAGGTGGCGTTTGGTTCGCACGTCGGAATCGGATTCGGATTCGGAATCGGATATTCTGGGTTTGGAATGAGGTCATTCATTCCAATATATTTGTTTGGTTCAAGTACCTGGAATGTGTATCATTACTATAGTTGATGTTTGGTTCGTCGACTCTTTCGGAATGGAATATAATAAATATATTATAAACCACATCGTAAATGATAATTATTGGCTCTTTGTAAATAAGATATAAGAAATTTTCACTAATTAAATATATTAGTATAATTAGTAAATATATTAGTATAAATGTATTAGTAAATATATTAGTATAAATGTATTAGTAAATTTAGATAATAATATTATCATTATAAATTTGTAACTAATTCAATTAAATATTATATATATAATTAAATATAAATATATAATTATATAATTATATAATATATACAAATATTAATTATACTAATATTTTATATAAATATAATATATATTACATATTAAATATAGTTATTATTATATATTATTATATTTAAAATAATTATTATTATAATTATATAACTTATTAATATTACATACATGTATATATTATAATTATATGCACATATAATATACATTTATAAATATACATATATATTATAAATATAATATTATATAACATTAATAAATTTATAATATATATTATATAAGTATAATTATATTTAACTAAATAATTATAATATATAATTATATAATACAATAACATCATTATTATAAGTTTGTAACTAATTAAATTAAATGTTATATATATAATTAATTATAATTATACAAACGCTATAAAATAAATACATAATTATAATTATATAATATATAAATATTAATTGTACTCATATTTTATATAAGTATAATGCATATTAATATTAGATATAGTAATTATTATATATTATTGTATTTAAGATAAATATAAATATAAATATAATTATATAATTTATTAATGTTATATACATGTGTATATTATAATCATATGCACATATAATATGCATTTATAAATATACATATATATTATAAATGTATTATTACATAATATTAATAAATTTATATATATTATATAAATATAATTATATTTAACTGAATAATTATAATATATATTTATATAATGTACTAATATTATAATTATAATATATTATATATATGTACATAATTATAATTATATAATATATAAATATTAATTGTACTCATATTTTATATAAGTATAATGCATATTAATATTATATATAGTAATTATTATATATTATTGTATTTAAAATAATAAATATAAATATAAATATAATTATATAATTTATTAATATTATATACATGTGTATATTATAATCATATGCACATATAATATGCATTTATAAATATACATATATATTATAAATATATTATTACATAATATTAATAAATTTATGTATATATTATATAAATATAATTATATTTAACTAAATAATTATAATATATATTTATATAATTTACTAATATTATAATTATAATATATTATATATATGTATATATTATAATATATAATATATATAATATATATAAATATTAATTATATCATTGTATAATTATAATATGTAATTGGACTTGTTTCTTGGAATCAAACTTGGGAATCGGACAAAACCCACCAAAATACTTGGGAATGGAGAAACACCAAATTTTTAGATATCATTCCAAGATTTCAATTCCCATTCCAGTGAACCAAACACCATTTATGGGGTTCATTCCATTCCGCGAATCCGATACCCTCTTACCAAACGCCCCCTAAGACTTTATTAACATTATTTGGGAAATTAATCAATTTGTCCTATTTTCCTTAGTTAATTTTTACTATAAATCTATTGGCATTTCACAATGTGATGCCCGCTCCACTTAATACCAATCCTTCTCTGACAAGCAACTCTTTCTTACAAACAGAGGATAGAAATAACATAACCTACACTCGAGACCAAAAAAAAAAGAGTTATCCGAAACCGCAAAACAGTTCTCTATAGCTTCTCCTTTTTCTTTTTAGGCACAGTTTCCTCAAGTTGTAAAATAAGATTAATCACGAATACAGGGCTTCCATAGACTAGAGCGTTTTAAGTAAGATCCACAAGCAAAATTGTTGGCCATTAGACTACAAGAGCTGTTGGAGAAAGGAGATCCCTTAATTTGACGATTCTAGTCTAGATCTTGATGTTGAAGTAGTCCGGATCAAAGTGATGCAGTCTCACATACCCATCTTCACCTCCACTTGCGAAACTGCAGAAGAAAGAATAAACACCGATCTGCATTATTAGTCTGTAGTAATCAAAAGCTTTTACCAAAGTAATCGAACAAGCAGGCTGAATACCCAAAAACTGTAGCACTGAAACATTTCATAGCATGAACAGAAATGCAACAGTGTATATCCAAGTTGTAGAACCAAAAACTGAAAATTTGAAGCTTCACAAGCTCTGGCACATGCCTACTTTTCTTTAGAAATCCAAATACCAAAATTTAGCAACCACCAATCAATTCCAATTGTAACATAAATGATTGTACAAAGCAAGATATTACCTTTTTCCGTCAGGATTGAATGCCAAGGCGTTGATTGGCCCAAAGTGACCTTTAACACCTCCAATCTCTTCTTGAAGAACCTGACCAAGCACGCCATGAGGGATACAAATTAAACACAAGATAACAGATTCAACTATTATGAGGGACCTAAAAGCTGCATATCATCTCTCTCATTCCAAGAAAATTATCTACCTTGTCATAGAATTTTGCCTCAAACTTTCCAGCACGATGGTCAGTGGTAGTAACAGCTGATGCATCCTGACCACCTCCAAGAACCACCTGCAATCAACACAGCAGGAAAGCACAAATATGAGAAATTAAATTAATGACAATCATAAAATCAGTTCGACCAACTAACAGGAAGATAATCATGCCAGAATCTCTATTTTCTACTAGACATTACAGAAATTTTAAGGTTATTCCCATCCAAACTAACAGAGCAGGCACATGTTATGATATGGTTCCTCAATGGAACACGTCTAAATAGTTAAGCAGTTTGGAATTTCTGTAAAATTCATTCAATCAATCTCGTAACCACATTGACCACAGCTAAAGCGTCATTCCCTCAACGAATTGGCTAGAGGTGATTAACCCCAAAGATACCAAGGGATGTATACTGGTTCTTTAAATTAAAAAATTTGTCTGCTCATCACAAAATTATATAGAAGTTATAGAAAGGAAAACCAAAACCGAAATGAATTCACTGACACCCAGACTTATTATATTATATCTAAAAAACCCACCAATTAAAGATTTCATCAGCTATGAAATATATGACCAAACATCATCAAATTCCAATGCAAGAATCAAGACACTACTTACTATCATTATAATAAAAAATTACCATAAATCAGTCACATTGGCAGCATAAGGAAACTAAAAATAAACACCTGATGGATGAATTGCAATACTGATGATCTAACATCAGAAAGTACACAAGGAATGGCTAATAAATTGTGCTACTGAATTTCCAATCAAAAATTTCAAGAAAAGTTGACAAGAAACCATTTAAAAGATGCACCAACTCAATAAAGAACACATAAGTACGAAAGTAAGCTGATATACATAAAGACCTTCTGCACATTTTGTTAATCAATAAATGCTATTTGATCCATCTTACCTACAAATACTCTATCCACAGAACAACCAAGAAGCAAACTTACTTAGTGCATCAATAAATGTAAAAAACAATTACAGATGAGTGTAAAAAGCAATTACAGATGAGTGTAAAAAGCAATTACAGATGTTCCACCAGTACATACATGATCAAGAAGCGGAGACATTGCAACTGCATTCACAGGACGTTCAGTTGTATAGGTCTTCAGAAGTGTCAATGTTCTCATATCCCACAGCTAACGAAAAAGATTAACAACAAACAAATAAGACAAAAAAGAAATAATAAACTACAGATGGTAGAGGGAAAAGGAAGAGAAGGGGATCATCCAAAAGAAAGAGAAAAGAAAAAAGAAACCAAAGATGACAAAGAAGTATACTTTAGCTGACTTATCAAGAGAACCACTGATGAAATGCGTCGCATCATTGGATTTTGAAAGTGATGTTATGCCTTTTTTGTGACCAGCCTCCTTGTCAGACTCTTTGAGTAATTTCCCAGTCTGATATTAAAAAAATTTAAGGACCAAAAAAAAAAAAGTAAGAGAAGACTAACTTCCATCCATGCCTAAATGATGTACAAGAATCTAAATAAAAAACAGAGACATGAAGCAGCAAAATAGTGTAAAACAAATATGCTACGGTAAACCCAATGATGCACACAAAAGATCTTTGTGACAGAGTGACTAAAAGCTAGAAAAGTCAAACAAGAAAGTGTAACCTCAGAATCCCAGATACGTATTACAGAATCTTCACCACCACTTATGATAGTCTTGTTCAAAGGTCCCCAAACAGCCCTGTTAATTCTTCCCTGAGGTCCTTTGAGTACAAGAATAGATTCACCGGACTCTGCGAAATGAATGATGTCAGAACTTTTGGCAAACAACTAGTTAGTCAAGAAATTAGAGCAATTAAGGGATTTTTTTTTGGGTGGGGGAGGGTGAGGGCATTTTACATGATTACTACAAGGAAAACATAATAAAGAGAAACCATCAAAAAGCTGCAACTGGCTTTATGAGCACAAAAAACAGCAAGAAAACTCGGGGCAAATTTGTCAGTGCATGTGGGTCCATGGATGCACAAACTGATGCTTCACATCATAATGATGAAGCATAAAACCATTCTATGTTTCTCGGATCCAGGTAGAGGAGTCCTGTGGACATGGGTAATATAGAGCAAATGAAGAGTCTGACACAGGTATGGCGGGACAAAGTGAAGAGTCCGAGTAACATAAAACCCATTACAATCCAGTAAATCAACACATCTACAAGCAAAATAAATAATGTGATGGAAGAAGGAAATTGGAGATAACACGGAATCCGGATTAAAGAACGATACAATTCTTTAAAGTCCAAAATTAGTCAATGTGTAAACAATTAAATTGTTTTCCTGCTCTTTTCTTTCTGGTACACATAGCATCATAGAAATGGTGATTAAGTCATCCCTTCAGATTGAAAAACAGAACAGACATGTTCAAACCAGAATATAAGTACAGGACCCAGATAAGATTCCGAATAAAAAAAGTACCAAGTATAAGATCATCATTTGCAAGTAACAACAAAAGAACACATCAACTCACGGTCAGCAGGATCTCTGGCAATTCGTTTCACTTGAATTGCAGAAGGCAATCCCATAAAGGGGTCAGTTGTTATGACAGCAAGTTTATCACCAACTCCAAAATCAACAGACCTAGTTGGTGAGTCGAAGTTGAAAGTGTACAGCTGAGTCCCTGTTTTAACATTCCAAAGTTTTGCTGTCTGATCCGCACTTCCAGTTAACAGCAAAGACGAATCCCCTAAACCAAAAATACCACATCAGTATAACCATTACCCCAAATTAAAGACCCATATTTACACTAACCCTCGACACAAAACTGTATATCTTAACATGTTAATGTAAGTTTTAATCTCCCCCGAACATTGCAAACCACATCTTTCAAAAATTTCTCTTAATGCGAAGTAGCTACATGCATTCGCGAGCGAGAAAATATAAAGTGCAGCAGCAGCACCACTGTGTTATATTGGATACGGAGATGGAACGGCCAGACTGATTTACTTGAAAAAAAATATAAATTGTTGAAAATTCATACATCGTGTATTTGTTTCAACATATTAGTTAGCTGCATTAGAAATAACAAGATTGGAAAAATTCCTTTTACGCATATTTCGACCAGGGGAGACAAGGGACTTTAAAATTCTCTACCTATATGTTTCATGGGAAAACAAAAACAACACCAGCATCAGCACACCAATATTCAGCTGAGAATTGAATTATAAGTAAAAGTGACACAAAAAAAAAAGGTTAAATGATTTCAATTACACTATAAACCTAAACAAAATTCATAATTAAACTAGAAAGAACACGAATTGATAACACAATGCGGCGGTCGGAGCTGGTCGGGAGGGGTGGGGGGCTTACTGGAGACATCGCAACACCAGACGGCGCCGTTGTGGCCACGATAAGTGCCGAGGCGTTCGCCATTGTCGGCGAACCAGACGGTTGGAGTATGATCCTTGGCGCACGAGAATAGAAGGTCGCCGTCTCTGTTGTACTTCAAAAATGTCAGCGGCCTCTCATGGCCTTTCATCAGTATCGGCCTCATCAGTATACGGCAAAACTTACTAGATTATGATTGTGATTTGGTGAACGACAAAACTGTGGTTTAACAAAGGAAAAAAGAAGAAGAAGAAGAACAAAGGAAACAAAAACCCTAGTTGGTTCTGGTAACAGAAAGAGACTTGGACCCGATTCGTTTGTACTACTCTTACTGGTATTACTGTTTTAGCCTTTAGGAAGGTGGAACGGGCCGTAGCCCAATTATAAAAGTAGGCCCCTATCCTTCTTTTGTTTACTGCTGGCCTGGGCCTGTAACTCTATTGTACATCTGTTATTCGTGAATGCTTGATACATTAATTAGGTGTGTTTTGTATGAACAGTTATTTAGGAAAAAAAAGAGAAAGAGAGAGAGAGAGAGAGCCAAATCATTTTTGTTTTGTTTTTCAAGATAGACTAAAAAGTACAGACGAAACCCAAAGATAATTTGTAAAAAATACAGCATTATTAGTTGGAAGTAGTTACCTAATTAAGATTATTTAGTCATAATCTTTGATTCATTGACGACTAAACGATGCATGATGTGAAGCAGATAGAAGTAGTGAGTTGAGCTCGAGCTTCAATATTTTGCACTCGAAAGCTCGACGAGCCTAATCGAGCTTTTTATAATATATATTTTAATTTGTATTCTTGTGAAATGTCAATAATATTCTTTATTTAAAATTATATGTAAAATATTAATTTTTATTACGTGAAATTGATTAGGCTTGATTGAACTCGAATAGGTTCGATTGAACTTGATTTGAATTGATTAGATTTAATTAAACTCGAACTCGAGTTCGAGCTCGAGTAACGTAAATTGATGTCGAATTCGAAAAACTCGACGAGCTCGATCTCGATCTTTATCTCGAGCTTAGTTATTTTACCTGCACTACTCGAGCTCGACTCGACTCGAACGCACCTCTAGATGCAAGTGCAAGACAGGTCAAATCATTCGATAGAGATGAGTAAGTAATGAATGCAAAAATTGTGAAAGATTTGGAACCCGTCTAGTGTGAATGATGTTAAGTGAACGACTTTTGATTTTTGAACAGCAAAAATTCACCTACACACAAATTTGCTCTGGCTGTATATGTGTGTATATATATATGTGCCATGCCAATTCCAACACAGGTCAGAAATCATAGACTACTCCAGGATTACCTACCAAGACGAAAAAAAGAAAATCATGGAGGGAACCGGAAAACATGCAGTAACTGTGATGGTGATGATGATGGCTTTGTTATTATGGGGCTGCTTGATGATGATGAGCGGAGCCGAAGCACATATAGAAAAGGGAGGCTGCTTAGAAGGTTGCTTGGAGGGTTGCAAACACAGTGGGATCAGTCCTTTGAGGTGCTTAAAGTATTGCGCAAAGCACTGTGGTTCTCTTTCTCCATCCTTTGCTGCCGGCGGCCACAAGCAGCAGCGGCCAGCACCACCACCCCCACCCGCTGGCCACCATTATTGCAACCTTGGATGCATGTTCCAGAAATGCTCCAAATTCCACGATGGTACGTAGGGATCTTTGATTAATTAATTCCCTGTTCAAACTCTGATCACCTCCGCAAGTTGTAACATATACATATATGTATAATTAACGGATACTGCAATGCAATATTGCTTTTCAATCTTAATTTGCAGACGAAGCCAAGGAAGAAGCCTGTGCATTAGACTGCAAAAACCATGTCTGCAAGCCCGCAAATTCTTGATTACGGAGTGCGTCAAAGTACCCTACAGACGCACCAATCATTAGGAAGAGCTGGAACTCAATCAGTTCATAAGATATATATTCCCTTTATGTGATGAATAAGAGCCAATTCAGTTGTTGTGACATCAGTTTCTTTATTTCGATCGGCACTTCTCTCTCTGAGATATTGCTACAGAAGTGCTTTCTAAGTACTCCATAAATTAAATATGTTTCAGCTTCTGCCTGATCATAATCTTCGTTTTTTTTTCTTTCTTTTGGTTGTGTTTTTCTGGGTAAAACCACCTGAAAGGATGGAACTACAAATTTAAAATGTGAGCCATTGCTTGAACTCGTGTCGCGGTATAAACAGGGAATCTGTACACAATCAAAGATTCACGGAAAAGCAGAGGAAAGGAAACAAACGACGGGCGTACGGACATGCAATGTCAAAATTATAACGAGACGTGCAATGTCATTTTTCAAGTTGGAATTACTACTAGAGTTCCAACTTCCAATAAGTAAACAACAAGAGTTGGATTCTTTTCAATTATTTGCAGCCGCACTGTCCATCCAGATGCAACAAATACAATTAGAGTTCTTTACTTCCTTTATTGTTTCCATTCCAATGATTCAACTTTTAGTAATTTAGGTTGGCATCTGATGTCCGGCAGGATTTAATAACGTTCTTTCTGTTGGCTTCTTCATTGCTAGTCTGCTTAGCAAATAACGTTCACCATGAAGCAATAAAAGCCCATCTGAGTCTCACAAACATACTACCAAATTGAGGCTTATATAGGTCACATACCATACCAGGACGCCAAAACCACAGCAATGGAACCGCATCTCCCCTTTAAGACCAGACTCCAAATCTCCATCGGCACTTTTGCTGCAAAATTATGTGTCCGCTCTGATGGCACCATCAACCGCCATCTCTTCAGCCTCCTCGACCAAAAAGTTATAGCTCCCACTACCAAAGTCTTCAATGACGTACCTGTCTCCTCCTCTGACATCTCCGTCGACCCCTCTCGCAACCTCTGGTTCCGCCTCTTCGTCCCAGACACCAAATCCTCAGCTGAAACATTATTGCCACTCATTGTCTATTTCCATGGAGGTGGATTCACATATTTTGGTCCGGACTCCAGGAGCTTTGACGCTCTCTGTTGCAACCTAGCAGCTCAGATTCCCGCAACCATTGTATCTGTTAACTATCGCCTTGCCCCAGAACACCGATTCCCTTGTGCTTATGATGATGGTTTTGACACCCTCAAGTATATAGAAGCACAAAATTATGCTGTTTTGCCCTCCAAAACTGACCTGAGCAAATGCTTCATAGCCGGAGACAGTGCTGGAGGAAACATAGCCCACCATGTAACACACAGGGCCTGCAAAGACTCTCACCAGTTTAAGAAAATAAAGATTGTTGGGCTGCTAGCCATGCAACCACTTTTTGGTGGAGAAGAGCGCACCGCATCAGAACTGAGGCTCACAAGAGTGCCTTTCCTCAATATCGAGAGCACAGACAGGATGTGGAGGAATTTCTTGCCCGAAGGTGCTGATAGAAACCATAAAGCAGCCAATGTTTTCAGAGATGGACCAAATTTTAAAGCAGCAGACACAGTGCCAGAGGATTTTCCAAGCTCGCTGGTATTTGTTGCAGGGTTTGATCCACTGCAGGATTGGCAGAAAAGGTATTGTGTGGGGTTGAGGAGGTGTGGAAAGGAAGTTTGGTTGGTTGAATATCCTAATGGTATTCATGGTTTCTATAACTTTCCAGAGCTGCCTGAGTCTGCACTAATTGTCAAGGAAGTGAGACAGTTCATTCAGGAGAAATGAAAACTTTCAACCAAGCAAGAAATAAGCTAAGTAGCAAACTTTGCATTGATGGGTAAGATACACAAATTTTCAGTACCCAGAAATTACAACTATATATCATGCTCAGAGAACTACAAGCAGAACATTTTATATATCTGTTATGCTGTTGTCAACACTTTTCGTTCTTTATGAAGTACAAACACATTTGTGTACTTGATTAAAACAGTTTCAGTAATTTTGGTTAGCCAGTGCCAATAGAGAAGTCCAATGATAATGAAGATTCATATATCTCTTGATCATTATAATTTGCTTCAAATCATCCTAATCAATGAAGCAAAAGAAATTTCAAAAATATAATGTTTTATATGTTATATATGCCATGTAAAACTCAGATTTTTAAGAAATATGAAATTGTTAATGTAGTAGGCCAAACTAGAATAGCTTCTCAGTGCCAACATTCAAACATCCACATTCTTGAAGGATGCCTAACTACAAAACTATATTGACGATGACATTATTCTCATTGCTCACAACTAGAAACATACATAAATCTAGATTGTTTTTCTTTTGATCTCTTTTGTACATTATGTCTCCACCTCTTCACATGGATGTCTAGTTAAATTTGATAGTTTGCATCATCTTGCACACCACTATGGATCATATCTGATGAACTTCAGTTAGCAATCCAAAGCCTCCTGGCACAGTATAGCATCATGTGATCTGCTCTCTAACTGAATGCAGAATGGAAATTGGCAAGTTGGCAATGATGTTCCCAGTGGAAGTTGAGAAGCATTCAGGAAAAGATAAGAAAAACTAATTGCAACTCAATTACTGTCACTAATTTGCATGATCTGGGGAGAGATGATCAGAGCCAAGAGCCGAAAGAGATATACATATTGAACTGCAATACCAGTTGATCATAAACACCATACTCAGGTCATCAAATTTCTGCCGAGTCTCAGGTAGTCATTGAAAAACTCAAACAACAAAATCTGACCTATTGCCAACATTAATTCACCAGAACTGCAATAAGAAAGTGTGCACACAAATTTTTGTTGTTGACATAGTAGAATCATCGAGTTTCTTGTACTAAAATGAAAACTATGGCAAAACTATAACGTTGCGAAGATCAAATACTACGTATACACAGTTAATAGTAGAGTGTTAAGAAGGTCAAAGAACAACCTTCTCACACTAGTCTTCCCTCCCATTTCATCAGAATGATATGTTACTTCCTTATGTAAACATCTATCAATAAATTTGCATTAAAAAAAATTCTAGACACGCAGAAGAAGTCGATAGTATTAGTAATATTACAGAAGGTAATCAACTTCAAAGTGGAGCACCTTTTAACTAAGATAACTATCATACATAGAAATACCACAAGTCATTCTTAATAAATGCATTCATTTACATCAGGTAGTTGAATTACTATCCAGACATACACATTTAGAAGTTGACATTTGTGTCAAGACTGAACAAAAGAGTTCATATTTCATAATTACGCTGAATTGTTATGTCAATAGGAAGTGACCTAAAGGCGTAACTACTAATCAAAGAGTTTTTGGTACCTGAAAGATTACAATATTCTTGTATTAAGCGGCTCTCTAAACAGGAATTTCTCCTGCATAATTTCCCAAAAGGAAAGTTTCAAACAATAATGCTATTATAATACAAAATGAACATGAAGAACTTCATATTGCAAAGTCCTTTAAAGATACAGAGCTTTACCAAGCCCTGAGAAACAGGGCTTCACATGTCTTACATTTAATCTGACATTCACCATGTTCTACACACTCTTATCTTTTGCTTCACGTGTCTTATATTTGTCTGTTCGTGCATATGGGGTCGAGATCTAGCGGCAGGTTGATTTTGATAGCCTCATTAGTCACTCGTCAATTTAGAGTTTGTGACTAGCTCCATCAGAATAATAATTCGTGTTGAATATGTGTCCTGTTTCAAGAAAATGCAATACAAATAAGAAATCAAATGTAGGCTCCTTTCCTAATTTGTCTTCAGATGTAAATGGAATATCAATTATGTGATGTAAACAGGTAACCTATTGTAGTATTTGTGGCTTATTGGGAGCTTGTTCTATTTTAGTATCATTTTCATAGATAGGTTTATGATAGTATGAGTTATCGAAACTAAAAGCAGTTAAAATATATATGGAGATGGAAAAAGTGCAAGTAAACGTGGAATTTACAGCACTTACAGATGTTAAATTTCCTGTGTACCAAACTTCTGAATTAGCTCATGACAGGATCATCCTCAGATGGTACCATACAACTCTACTCACATGTAGGATCTACATTCATGAGACAAGAAATGGGTCACCACGTAGTTAAATTTTAAAATTTGAAAGTAATCTAAGCATCTCCGAACTGCTTCATCTCATTTAATATGTACATCTATTTGTGCTCTAGATGAAGAACTTAAAAATACTATAAGAGTCACAAAGACGAGAAACATATTCAGATCTAAATTCACCAGAAGCTTTGCTCCATTATTAAATCTATCTGGCAGTTCTATCTACACAATTAAAATCAGCAAGAAATTTTAACAGACAATGAACGCAAAAGGGAAACAATTTTTTTTTAAATAAAGGGAAACAAATATAAATTATGAAAATACTTCACTGCATGAAAAGAGGATTTCAGGAGAAGAAAACGAGGAAGTGGCAAGGAGGTGGGGGCTGTCAACTATTTTCTGAAGCCTACTGCTTTTTCTGCAGTTGAAGTTTAAGCAGTAGCATTCAAGAGTTTCTTGCAATATAACATCCCCAGTATTGGATATTAGCACCAAATATCTTCCAAATAGTAAGTGCAAGATTATTAGAACAATACCTAAGCAAGTACCAATATCATCTTCATGCATGCAAAGCCAAGATAATTCTCAACGAGTACCAAAAAGAACCTGAACAAGTGAATTTGCAGAAGGGCATTTTGAAGTACCGCTAAAACTTTATTTGATGCATGTGATGAAATAAATCATCCAACATCAAGAAGAGCACACTCAATACTATTTAAACAGGAAAGCTCCATAATCTGTGTTGTTAAAATCTGTAATGCCCTATATATCTCTGCTGTTTTTGGCCTGAATAATTATCAGATTGAAAAACCAATATCTGGCGTTGATCCTCAATCCAGCTGCATCCCGGCTCCTTTTCAATGCCATTCTGATTCAAGAAATTTCTAACTCTATCGACCTCATCCCACCTCCCTGACTGAGCATAAATATTTGAGAGAAGCACTAGACTTGATGTTTTATGAGGTTCAATTTCAAAAAGCTTCCTAGCAGCAAAATCAGCAAGCATCACATTTTTATGCAAGCGACAAGCCCCAAGAAGAGCACCCCATATTCCTGCAGTGGCTTGGACCTTCATTTTCCTGATTAACTCAAAGGCTTCCTCTAACCTTCCTGCTCTGCCAAGCACATCGACCATGCAAGTATAATGTTCAGCCAAAGGTTCAATGCCATACTTCTGCGTCATGCAACTGAACAAGGTTAGACCTGCAGAAACTAAGCCTGCATGATTACATGCAGAAAGAACCCCAACAAAAGTAACTTGATCGGGAATGACAGCATATCCTTCCATTTCTTGGAAAAGTTTGCATGCCTCTATCCCATATCCATTTAGAGCATAGCCTGCTATCAAAGAATTCCAGGATACCACGTCAAGGTTATCAACATCACTGAATACATCTCTGGCACTCAAGATACTTCCACACTTGGCATACATCGTAATTAGAGCATTACTGACAACCATATCTTTCATATAACCATTTTTCACCACAATGTGATGAAGTTGCCGCCCAAATTGCTCAGCTGCAAGACTAGCACAGACCCTTAGGCCAGAAGCAAAAGTAGATTGATCAGGCTTCTTTCCATCACGAATCACGAGCAAAATATTCTTCAGTGCATCCATGTATAACCCATTTTGTGCATAACCTGAAATTACGGAATTCCAAGAAATTATATTCTTTTCCCCAATTTGCTCAAACATCTCAAGTGCTCTCTCCATTTTTCCTACTTGAGCATAGCCCGTAATCATGGTGTTCCAAGTATCTATTTTCTTTGGGGCCATATTTTGAAATAGATAGAAAGCTTCATCCATTCTTCCATGTTGAGCATATCCCGCAATCATCGTGTTCCAACAGACAGTGTCACGTTTCCTCATGCGATCAAAAATTTGACGGGCGTCATCGATCCTATTGTTCTGAATAAAGCCAAGCATCATGGCTGTTTGTGACCCTACATTTTCATAAGGCATTGTATCGAACAATTTCTTTGCTTCTTCAAGCTGACCAATTCGGACATGACCACTGATGATGGTAGTCCATGATATAGCATCCTTCTCTGGCATCTCATTAAATAATTCTACTGCCTTGTCAACCTTGCAATTCTGAATGCATGCAGCCAACGTCGCATTCCAAGCAACAACATTTCTCTCCGTCATGTTGTTAAAGAATCCCTCTGCCTCTGAAAGGTGGCCATGCCTTGCCAAGCCACTCAACATTGTGGCCCAAGAAACAACACTTGGATTGGGAATCCTTTCAAAAAACTCCCTAGCAGCATTCAAATCACCAGCTTGCGTGTACCCTTCTAATACCAAATTCCACGAAATCCAATCCTTTTCTTCCATCTCTTCAAAAAACTTAGCAGCCAAACACATTTGCCCGCTACGGGTATATCCCGAGAGCATTGTATTCCACGAAACCAAGTTCCTCACTGGCATTTCATTGAACAATTTCCTACCATCGCTGAGCATCCCATTCTTGACATACCCTGTAATCAGTGCATTCCAACACGCTGCACAACTCTTATCGGGCATCGAATCAAATACTCGTCTTGCTTTTTCTACGAAACCACTACGTGCATAACAAGTAATCATGAGACTGTAAGTAAAAGAGTCCCTTCGACGCATTTTATCAAATAATTCAGCTACTTCTTTAAAATAGTCATTATACAAGTAACCGCTCATCATTGTGTTCCAGGAAATCAAGTTCTTAAATGGCATTCGATTAAATAGAGCACAAGCCTCACTGAATCTTCCATTCTTAGCATAGGCGGAGATCATCGAGTTGTAAGTGACAGCGTTGGGCTGTGCTATTGCGTTGAATACTCTGACGGCCTCATCAATGTCACCTCTTTTGGCTAGTTGGGTTATCTTTAAATTCAGCTGAAAGACATCCTGTTGACCTCTTCTATTCAGATGACCTGCTACAGAATGCAGCCTTGCCTTCATCATATTAGCTCAATCAAGCGTAAAAAAGATCATCAGGCTTAGAGATATTCTGTTGTTTCTTGAGAGACACTGCTATTGCATCATTTGTGCTTTTGTGCGGAATCGCTCAGTTGAAGCCTGGGATGGCAGCGGGTCGCATGATGTTAGTGTTAAAAAAAAAAATCACTGCATACATTCAAAGCTATTAATATAAAAGATCATTAAGTGTCTGTGTAGAAAAGATTGCTACTATATGTGCGTGTATTTATGTCGAGTTTCAGGTTTTTAGGGTTCTCTTATCAAACTCTATCGGATTATCCATCGAAAACCTCTCATCAATATCAAATCCTAACGGATTACCCATCGATCGTCTAATCGAATTAATCATCGGACAAGTATCAAATTTTACCCTACCCATTGCCATCTCTACCTGAATATTGGGTATTGCGCTTTATTATTTTATTTTTGAATTGAGCATTAGTAATAACCACCCGCTTAGTTCTCACTTAGAAATAAAGATAGTAAACGTGTGCTTAATTGTATTCAGTTAGCATATAAAAACATCCCCCTCCAAAAAAAAAAAAGGGAGAAGAAGAAGAAGCTATCGCTTTGAAATGGATTGAGGTCAGAATCTCCCTGAGATCTTTCTTTCTTATTTTTGTATCTTAAATCTCATCCCTTCCTATTAGGAAAAATTTTTTTGAAAAAAAATAGCAAGTGCTTGTTTAGTTTGTACAAGCGATACGTTTTCGGTCCTGTCATGGCATAAAATTTGATTTTGTATGGTCCGAATCATGCTATACAAAGATTATTTATAAACATGTACAAAAGATTCTAAGACAAATTCAGATGATAAACTTCTCAACAGAGCATGCTCCCACGAAAGAATTTGTTGGTGATTTGGTGGCCGAAAGGTTGACCGTGAAACCACATTCAATGAAGAAGATTTGTGGTTTAGGGACACAGGGGGACTGTACCATTGAAGATGGAAAGTGTCGATGCGGCTGATAAAAAGGTTACGGAAATCACTGATGGTGATCAAGTCCACACACACAGGAACATGTTTTACACTACTGTTCCTCCTCCCGCGTCCAATAGGACAACAACCACGCCCAGTTCTTCAGTTGATAATTATTACTCGCGTTCATTAAGACTAGGAGGCAATAACGCGCTTCGCGCGATAGTAATGTAAAATGCCCATTCCATTTCTGAAGTAATAAAAATAACATTTTATTTAGAAATGTACATTTTTTAGTATATATATACCATGAGTCTAAAGGTTTGTTGATATTTCTTGGCTACGAACTTTCATAGATATTGTTAAATTTCTAAATTTAATGGAAGTGCTTTGGAACTTCCAAAGCCTGAATTTCTAAATTTGCTAAACTTTGCTAAACTTCCAAAGTCTGAAATGCAAATTTAAATTTCTAAATTTTTAATAGGAACTTCCAAACTCTGAAGTTTTGTTAATGCAAATATAATGGAGCATTTTTCTAAATTTAATATATACCAGCCATTTGTTTTTTGTAACCAAAGGTAGGATCAACTTTATTGCTAAACATCAATGTTTAATATGTAATGCCGTTGGAACATCCATTATGAAAGCTTCAATCGTTAAACAACAGTAGGAACTTGCTAAACATTAAATTTGTAGTGCTTTGGAAGCATTTTTCTAACCAGAACTTTTTTCCATTAAGAACATAAATACAACAAATGCCGTGCATTGCGTTGAAGCAGAATCAGCGTAAATCAGATGTGCCATCAAATGGAAAATGCAAACTGCCATGGAAACAACTTCTCTATTCCTTTGCGGTCAAGCACCAGCACAGCAAAGGGAGTCTTGGATTGTGGAATAAAAAGCAATATCTGGCCATTTTTTAGATCATGATCAATAACAAAACGGTTCCAGTTTTGATCAAAACATCTGCCGGTCATACCAACACGATAATATTTATGACCATTTGTAAGAGTTATAGTCGTACTTTCTTCATTTAGCCTTAGATTCGCAAATTCTGGCATATCCTATAAATGTATGAAAAAAAATTGTGATAAGTAAATACACATATGTACAAAAGAAAGAGAGTTAACAAGGTTAGAGAATGCAAAACTATACCAGCTTGTACTTGTACTTTGATAGATAAAATTGATAGAAGCAATTGAATGTAGTCCAGTCATGTTTTAGGAATGGATTCATAGATGAGACAATACGATGGAGAACTGATTCATAGAATCAATCTTAGGAAAGCTGTATCAATCTTAGGAAAGCTGTGTGGTCTCGCCTTACATTAATTTCAACTTTGTTCTCTATATGATTTCTTGATTCTTTACCCCAAAGTCTTTTTCTCCCATCAAGAATGCTTCAGAAATTATATGATCAATACATACCTAGCTATTACAGAATGGCAACAAACTGAAATGGCAACAACCTAGCTATTACAGAATTTCTGTGCTTGAGTCCTCTAACAACTATAACTACATAATACACATTAACTAAAAAACATCCAATGAAACTGCACTCATAATCAAACGACAATGCCTAACATAGGACAGCAGATTCCTTCCTCTTTACTGCTTGGCCACATGAGCAGTCAGTTCAGAATTCTGCAGCAAAAAATTAGAAGCATTCAAAATCATTCAAAATAACCAATGAATTCCTAGTCTGCACACACTATTTATTCAGTCAAAAGCATTCAAAATCATTCAAGAAGAATAAGTGTAATCATTCAAAACAGCACTCACACAAGTAACTTATGAAGATGCCTTTATACACAACACACCGAAGCAAAAGTAACATCTCGCAGAAAGAACCAAACACAGAAGAACATCATTTACAGGATATAAAACAGCATTTGTCAAAGTCTGAAACAAAAAGAAGTCTCTAATACAATTCATCTTGCTTTAGCATTCCAATTGATCACTTTCAGAAAAATGAGCTAAAGTAATAAATTTCCACGAACAATAGAATAAGTTAGTATAACAAAGAAATCATAATCTCAAATTCAGAGGCAAAAAACAAAAAAAAAAAAAAGAACCCTTGTTTTGACAAATATAACAAGTATGATAAAAAACTGACAAATGTCGTCATGGAGCGGAAGACATTTCAAATTCAGTTAAGGAAAAATAACTGATACAGCCTTTTTTTATTGTTTCCATCCCACACATCAACATAACCATCACAACCTCAAGTAGCAAATGTACCATAGCTACAAATCAAAATCAGTTTTGAGACAGATTTTGGCAAAAAGCTCAAGGTATTCAATCAATAGATAATTGTAATAGATCCAACTCAATCACTCAATATATCTAGAGTTGATAAATCAAGCACATAGGCTTATAAATCATTCATGGATACATTGACATTATAAATCATTCTCTTTTGTTTGTTCCATTCCAACTCAATCATTGACATAGCTACCTTAAGAATACATGGATCGGCTCCACTTATCAAGTTCAAAAAAACAGATGTTTCCTAAAGACGCATAGTTATGATGAGAAGCTTGAAGGTCGTGATTGCCTGGGGAATATCTAGAGTTGAAAATTGGAAATCAGGAAAGATAAATTCAGGTTCGATCGCTTATTCGTAAGCTGTTAAAGTTTTGAACTGTCCCCATAATTGATTGTTTTTGCCTTGTTTCTGCAATTATCTCTCATATTTGTTTACAGTAAGCACCATCACATCAAGTAAAGAACACTTCTCTTGCACCCTATATCAATCTGACATGATTCCATCTGGTACTGAGACTACCAAAACCCAAGCTCGTAGCCCAAAGAACCTACAACACTTTGTTCACCATAGCTGAAGACATACTTGGAACAACTAAGGTACCATATACTTTCTTTTTTTTTTCAGTGCATAGGCAGACACAAACATATAGAGTTATAATAAATCACACACACCTCAAACAAAAGAGAAATGAATTCTTTCATATCTTGATAAACACTTCAAATGTATACTAATCCTATGTACAACCAAGTAAAATGACATTGATATGGTATGAAGAGACATAAACATCAGCTTGCATGTACACTTCAGAACCAAGATTGATCAATGTCCTCAGACTGGTTACACTATTTTTCTCCAATGTCTCTATATTTCTTTTCCAATCAGAGCTACAAGAAGTTAAGAGAAAAAAAAAGTAAAGAAGCATTGCAGGTCAAAGGGAACTTGTGCAAAGAAGTAGGAGTCAGAGCAATAAAGGTGAGTAGTATCAATACCCAAATGCAAGAAAACTTAAAAGGATACAAAACTTTCTGTTGTTCAAATACCTCGTTCCTGCAAAAGAGATACCCAGAATATTAGAAATTTGGCATATAACAGAAATTCCGTCTCCAAATTCGCAACTTAATAGTGAAATATTAAACAGAAAGTAGGTAAGTACTCCAACTCATATAATCCCACTGCTGATGGTAATAAGCTCAATAAAGTGGTAACAGGGGATGGTTCTCCAAATAACAACTGTAAGCGGGTGAGTTCAGTATGAGGCAACCAACGGATTCCCACCCACACCTCCCCGCCTCAAGAAAATAGAAAAGGGAAAAAAGGGCGAAAAAAAACAGAAGGAAAAGAAAAAAGAAAGAAAAGGAAATGAATATTGGCAATATGGGAGTCAAATGAAGCAAAGTCTAATCTATTTATACACAAAAAAGGATCACTCTCTTCCAGTTTCAGATCGTTAGTTTTCACTACTACAGGAAGTTCAGCTACCGCCCGCTAGAAGCAAAAAAAAAAAAATTTTAAAGACATCGAGTGAGAGAATTGGGCTCCAAAACACCCTTCCGTACAATGATACAAAGATGGAAAAAGGACAAAAGAAAATGAAGAAAGTTACGGGTAATAACCAGAAATTAGCTAATTCAAAGTCCTCCCAAACTGTTCAATATATTTCTTATCTGCATTGGCTAGGCGATCTTGAAACTGCACCCACTCACTTCTGCACCTCTCTCTTACCTACCAAATTAGATAGAAAAGAATTCAAGCTAGTTACTTGACGTTTGGACAAATCTAATGAAATTCAGTTCAATGCAAAATCATGCAATTCAAACAGAGTGCAGATATAAGACCTATGAATCCTAATTTAAACATGATTGTTAGAATGTAGGTGATATAGAATAACTCAGATTACCATAAAATTGGATGAAGAAGCTTTCAGAGTTGACTTTTGCAAAAAAAACGAAGGACAAAGAAAAGGCCTCAATAAAAAAATATACAGAAAGGTTGAAATGGAAACCGAACAAGTAACAGCTTACATACCCCTTGCCAAGGAGCTTTTCCATTTTCAGATTGACCCTGGAATCAACGAAGCTGAAGCTGTTAGCATCATTATCAACAAAACAAATCTAAATGAGGGGAAACCAGATCAAGGGACAAGTAGGATAATTGACGTGGAAGAAAAAAATGTAAATAAGGGGGTTGCTGCTAAAAAGTTGCTTATATTATAAATGAAGAACCATTTGCTCAAAAATGGAAATTAAAGTTGAACAGAACAACATTTGCAAACAACTAAACTTCATTATTTTAATCACCTCTAGGAAAAGGAAAAGCAAGTCCCGATGGTTGTAATAAAGTAGTTAACTGACCTGACTTCCCAGAGAAGGAATAACTTGATGAACTATCCACTGAGAGTCAACCACATCAATTTTCTCATGTGCAGGCTACACAGGCAAAATACACTTACAATGAAACTGATAATACGCAGACATCCATTTGAAATAAATACATGTTTTCTAATTTTATCTGTTTTACATGCCACTGCCCGCAGATCTCTCCTTCCAACAGGAATATGAAAAGCAGGTAGACAAGCCTTCTTTTCTAAATCTTTCAAATAATATTGTGATAAGAAACAAATAAAACCACTGACCTCCACACATCTCCTTAGCGCAAAATCCAATCCCCAACCATGCACCAAATCATTCTAGGAATGTTATTGAAAGTAAAAAATCAGTGTGAGCTCTAAGCTGGAAAGAACCAAGGCTAATGAGAGCAGCTAAAAGCAAAAATAGTTGGAGGTACAACAAGGCTTAAAACATACGTATACAAAAGACAAAGTTAGAGAAGGGAACCTGAATCGTATGCCAAACACATCGCCAAGCATCCCGCGAGAAAACAGGAGCCATAATTTCCACAAAGCTGAATTCAAAAAGGAAAAACACAAGGAAAATTAGTTGAAGGTAAATGTTGAAGCCACCCCGATCTTTTATACTTTTCTTCACTATATATCTCCATTTTAAGGGCCTGAGCATAAATCATGGGTCATAACTCAACCTACAAACACTACCATAAAATCAAAATTTTCAACAATAAGACGTGCTATTGCTATGAGATGTCTTGTGGCTAAGCTCTTCTATTTGGCAATGGTCAACCTGATGAAGAAATATGACCATCAGAGAAAGTGAGCTTCTTGTTTCTGGCAATTTCAACTTCCAAGACATGTAAATAAACAATTCCCATCCAAACTAACAGAGCAGGCACATGTTATGATATGGTTCCTCAATGGAACACGTCTAAATAGTTAAGCAGTTTGGAATTTCTGTAAAATTCATTCAATCAATCTCGTAACCACATTGACCACAGCTAAAGCGTCATTCCCTCAACGAATTGGCTAGAGGTGATTAACCCCAAAGATACCAAGGGATGTATACTGGTTCTTTAAATTAAAAAATTTGTCTGCTCATCACAAAATTATATAGAAGTTATAGAAAGGAAAACCAAAACCGAAATGAATTCACTGACACCCAGACTTATTATATTATATCTAAAAAACCCACCAATTAAAGATTTCATCAGCTATGAAATATATGACCAAACATCATCAAATTCCAATGCAAGAATCAAGACACTACTTACTATCATTATAATAAAAAATTACCATAAATCAGTCACATTGGCAGCATAAGGAAACTAAAAATAAACACCTGATGGATGAATTGCAATACTGATGATCTAACATCAGAAAGTACACAAGGAATGGCTAATAAATTGTGCTACTGAATTTCCAATCAAAAATTTCAAGAAAAGTTGACAAGAAACCATTTAAAAGATGCACCAACTCAATAAAGAACACATAAGTACGAAAGTAAGCTGATATACATAAAGACCTTCTGCACATTTTGTTAATCAATAAATGCTATTTGATCCATCTTACCTACAAATACTCTATCCACAGAACAACCAAGAAGCAAACTTACTTAGTGCATCAATAAATGTAAAAAACAATTACAGATGAGTGTAAAAAGCAATTACAGATGAGTGTAAAAAGCAATTACAGATGTTCCACCAGTACATACATGATCAAGAAGCGGAGACATTGCAACTGCATTCACAGGACGTTCAGTTGTATAGGTCTTCAGAAGTGTCAATGTTCTCATATCCACAGCTAACGAAAAAGATTAACAACAAACAAATAAGACAAAAAAGAAATAATAACTACAGATGGTAGAGGGAAAAGGAAGAGAAGGGGATCATCCAAAAGAAAGAGAAAAGAAAAAAGAAACCAAAGATGACAAAGAAGTATACTTTAGCTGACTTATCAAGAGAACCACTGATGAAATGCGTCGCATCATTGGATTTTGAAAGTGATGTTATGCCTTTTTTGTGACCAGCCTCCTTGTCAGACTCTTTGAGTAATTTCCCAGTCTGATATTAAAAAATTTAAGGACCAAAAAAAAAAAGTAAGAGAAGACTAACTTCCATCCATGCCTAAATGATGTACAAGAATCTAAATAAAAAACAGAGACATGAAGCAGCAAAATAGTGTAAAACAAATATGCTACGGTAAACCCAATGATGCACACAAAAGATCTTTGTGACAGAGTGACTAAAAGCTAGAAAAGTCAAACAAGAAAGTGTAACCTCAGAATCCAGATACGTATTACAGAATCTTCACCACCACTTATGATAGTCTTGTTCAAAGGTCCCCAAACAGCCCTGTTAATTCTTCCCTGAGGTCCTTTGAGTACAAGAATAGATTCACCGGACTCTGCGAAATGAATGATGTCAGAACTTTTGGCAAACAACTAGTTAGTCAAGAAATTAGAGCAATTAAGGGATTTTTTTTTGGGTGGGGAGGGGTGAGGGCATTTTACATGATTACTACAAGGAAAACATAATAAAGAGAAACCATCAAAAGCTGCAACTGGCTTTATGAGCACAAAAAACAGCAAGAAAACTCGGGGCAAATTTGTCAGTGCATGTGGGTCCATGGATGCACAAAACTGATGCTTCACATCATAATGATGAAGCATAAAACCATTCTATGTTTCTCGGATCCAGGTAGAGGAGTCCTGTGGACATGGGTAATATAGAGCAAATGAAGAGTCTGACACAGGTATGGCGGGACAAAGTGAAGAGTCCGAGTAACATAAAACCATTACAATCCAGTAAATCAACACATCTACAAGCAAAATAAATAATGTGATGGAAGAAGGAAATTGGAGATAACACGGAATCCGGATTAAAGAACGATACAATTCTTTAAAGTCCAAAATTAGTCAATGTGTAAACAATTAAATTGTTTTCCTGCTCTTTTCTTTCTGGTACACATAGCATCATAGAAATGGTGATTAAGTCATCCCTTCAGATTGAAAAACAGAACAGACATGTTCAAACCAGAATATAAGTACAGGACCCAGATAAGATTCCGAATAAAAAAAGTACCAAGTATAAGATCATCATTTGCAAGTAACAACAAAAGAACACATCAACTCACGGTCAGCAGGATCTCTGGCAATTCGTTTCACTTGAATTGCAGAAGGCAATCCCATAAAGGGGTCAGTTGTTATGACAGCAAGTTTATCACCAACTCCAAAATCAACAGACCTAGTTGGTGAGTCGAAGTTGAAAGTGTACAGCTGAGTCCCTGTTTTAACATTCCAAAGTTTTGCTGTCTGATCCGCACTTCCAGTTAACAGCAAAGACGAATCCCCTAAACCAAAAATACCACATCAGTATAACCATTACCCCAAATTAAAGACCCATATTTACACTAACCCTCGACACAAAACTGTATATCTTAACATGTTAATGTAAGTTTTAATCTCCCCCGAACATTGCAAACCACATCTTTCAAAAATTTCTCTTAATGCGAAGTAGCTACATGCATTCGCGAGCGAGAAAATATAAAGTGCAGCAGCAGCACCACTGTGTTATATTGGATACGGAGATGGAACGGCCAGACTGATTTACTTGAAAAAAAATATAAATTGTTGAAAATTCATACATCGTGTATTTGTTTCAACATATTAGTTAGCTGCATTAGAAATAACAAGATTGGAAAATTCCTTTTACGCATATTTCGACCAGGGGAGACAAGGGACTTTAAAATTCTCTACCTATATGTTTCATGGGAAAACAAAAACAACACCAGCATCAGCACACCAATATTCAGCTGAGAATTGAATTATAAGTAAAAGTGACACAAAAAAAAAAGGTTAAATGATTTCAATTACACTATAAACCTAAACAAAATTCATAATTAAATAGAAAGAACACGAATTGATAACACAATGCGGCGGTCGGAGCTGGTCGGGAGGGTGGGGGGCTTACTGGAGACATCGCAACACCAGACGGCGCCGTTGTGGCCACGATAAGTGCCGAGGCGTTCGCCATTGTCGGCGAACCAGACGGTTGGAGTATGATCCTTGGCGCACGAGAATAGAAGGTCGCCGTCTCTGTTGTACTTCAAAAATGTCAGCGGCCTCTCATGGCCTTTCATCAGTATCGGCCTCATCAGTATACGGCAAAACTTACTAGATTATGATTGTGATTTGGTGAACGACAAAACTGTGGTTTAACAAAGGAAAAAAGAAGAAGAAGAAGAACAAAGGAAACAAAAACCCTAGTTGGTTCTGGTAACAGAAAGAGACTTGGACCCGATTCGTTTGTACTACTCTTACTGGTATTACTGTTTTAGCCTTTAGGAAGGTGGAACGGGCCGTAGCCCAATTATAAAAGTAGGCCCCTATCCTTCTTTTGTTTACTGCTGGCCTGGGCCTGTAACTCTATTGTACATCTGTTATTCGTGAATGCTTGATACATTAATTAGGTGTGTTTTGTATGAACAGTTATTTAGGAAAAAAAAGAGAAAGAGAGAGAGAGAGAGCCAAATCATTTTTGTTTTGTTTTTCAAGATAGACTAAAAAGTACAGACGAAACCAAAGATAATTTGTAAAAAATACAGCATTATTAGTTGGAAGTAGTTACCTAATTAAGATTATTTAGTCATAATCTTTGATTCATTGACGACTAAACGATGCATGATGTGAAGCAGATAGAAGTAGTGAGTTGAGCTCGAGCTTCAATATTTTGCACTCGAAAGCTCGACGAGCCTAATCGAGCTTTTTATAATATATATTTTAATTTGTATTCTTGTGAAATGTCAATAATATTCTTTATTTAAAATTATATGTAAAATATTAATTTTTATTACGTGAAATTGATTAGGCTTGATTGAACTCGAATAGGTTCGATTGAACTTGATTTGAATTGATTAGATTTAATTAAACTCGAACTCGAGTTCGAGCTCGAGTAACGTAAATTGATGTCGAATTCGAAAAACTCGACGAGCTCGATCTCGATCTTTATCTCGAGCTTAGTTATTTTACCTGCACTACTCGAGCTCGACTCGACTCGAACGCACCTCTAGATGCAAGTGCAAGACAGGTCAAATCATTCGATAGAGATGAGTAAGTAATGAATGCAAAAATTGTGAAAGATTTGGAACCCGTCTAGTGTGAATGATGTTAAGTGAACGACTTTTGATTTTTGAACAGCAAAAATTCACCTACACACAAATTTGCTCTGGCTGTATATGTGTGTATATATATATGTGCCATGCCAATTCCAACACAGGTCAGAAATCATAGACTACTCCAGGATTACCTACCAAGACGAAAAAAAGAAAATCATGGAGGGAACCGGAAAACATGCAGTAACTGTGATGGTGATGATGATGGCTTTGTTATTATGGGGCTGCTTGATGATGATGAGCGGAGCCGAAGCACATATAGAAAAGGGAGGCTGCTTAGAAGGTTGCTTGGAGGGTTGCAAACACAGTGGGATCAGTCCTTTGAGGTGCTTAAAGTATTGCGCAAAGCACTGTGGTTCTCTTTCTCCATCCTTTGCTGCCGGCGGCCACAAGCAGCAGCGGCCAGCACCACCACCCCACCGCTGGCCACCATTATTGCAACCTTGGATGCATGTTCCAGAAATGCTCCAAATTCCACGATGGTACGTAGGGATCTTTGATTAATTAATTCCCTGTTCAAACTCTGATCACCTCCGCAAGTTGTAACATATACATATATGTATAATTAACGGATACTGCAATGCAATATTGCTTTTCAATCTTAATTTGCAGACGAAGCCAAGGAAGAAGCCTGTGCATTAGACTGCAAAAACCATGTCTGCAAGCCCGCAAATTCTTGATTACGGAGTGCGTCAAAGTACCCTACAGACGCACCAATCATTAGGAAGAGCTGGAACTCAATCAGTTCATAAGATATATATTCCCTTTATGTGATGAATAAGAGCCAATTCAGTTGTTGTGACATCAGTTTCTTTATTTCGATCGGCACTTCTCTCTCTGAGATATTGCTACAGAAGTGCTTTCTAAGTACTCCATAAATTAAATATGTTTCAGCTTCTGCCTGATCATAATCTTCGTTTTTTTTCTTTCTTTTGGTTGTGTTTTTCTGGGTAAAACCACCTGAAAGGATGGAACTACAAATTTAAAATGTGAGCCATTGCTTGAACTCGTGTCGCGGTATAAACAGGGAATCTGTACACAATCAAAGATTCACGGAAAAGCAGAGGAAAGGAAACAAACGACGGGCGTACGGACATGCAATGTCAAAATTATAACGAGACGTGCAATGTCATTTTTCAAGTTGGAATTACTACTAGAGTTCCAACTTCCAATAAGTAAACAACAAGAGTTGGATTCTTTTCAATTATTTGCAGCCGCACTGTCCATCCAGATGCAACAAATACAATTAGAGTTCTTTACTTCCTTTATTGTTTCCATTCCAATGATTCAACTTTTAGTAATTTAGGTTGGCATCTGATGTCCGGCAGGATTTAATAACGTTCTTTCTGTTGGCTTCTTCATTGCTAGTCTGCTTAGCAAATAACGTTCACCATGAAGCAATAAAAGCCCATCTGAGTCTCACAAACATACTACCAAATTGAGGCTTATATAGGTCACATACCATACCAGGACGCCAAAACCACAGCAATGGAACCGCATCTCCCCTTTAAGACCAGACTCCAAATCTCCATCGGCACTTTTGCTGCAAAATTATGTGTCCGCTCTGATGGCACCATCAACCGCCATCTCTTCAGCCTCCTCGACCAAAAAGTTATAGCTCCCACTACCAAAGTCTTCAATGACGTACCTGTCTCCTCCTCTGACATCTCCGTCGACCCCTCTCGCAACCTCTGGTTCCGCCTCTTCGTCCCAGACACCAAATCCTCAGCTGAAACATTATTGCCACTCATTGTCTATTTCCATGGAGGTGGATTCACATATTTTGGTCCGGACTCCAGGAGCTTTGACGCTCTCTGTTGCAACCTAGCAGCTCAGATTCCCGCAACCATTGTATCTGTTAACTATCGCCTTGCCCCAGAACACCGATTCCCTTGTGCTTATGATGATGGTTTTGACACCCTCAAGTATATAGAAGCACAAAATTATGCTGTTTTGCCCTCCAAAACTGACCTGAGCAAATGCTTCATAGCCGGAGACAGTGCTGGAGGAAACATAGCCCACCATGTAACACACAGGGCCTGCAAAGACTCTCACCAGTTTAAGAAAATAAAGATTGTTGGGCTGCTAGCCATGCAACCACTTTTTGGTGGAGAAGAGCGCACCGCATCAGAACTGAGGCTCACAAGAGTGCCTTTCCTCAATATCGAGAGCACAGACAGGATGTGGAGGAATTTCTTGCCCGAAGGTGCTGATAGAAACCATAAAGCAGCCAATGTTTTCAGAGATGGACCAAATTTTAAAGCAGCAGACACAGTGCCAGAGGATTTTCCAAGCTCGCTGGTATTTGTTGCAGGGTTTGATCCACTGCAGGATTGGCAGAAAAGGTATTGTGTGGGGTTGAGGAGGTGTGGAAAGGAAGTTTGGTTGGTTGAATATCCTAATGGTATTCATGGTTTCTATAACTTTCCAGAGCTGCCTGAGTCTGCACTAATTGTCAAGGAAGTGAGACAGTTCATTCAGGAGAAATGAAAACTTTCAACCAAGCAAGAAATAAGCTAAGTAGCAAACTTTGCATTGATGGGTAAGATACACAAATTTTCAGTACCCAGAAATTACAACTATATATCATGCTCAGAGAACTACAAGCAGAACATTTTATATATCTGTTATGCTGTTGTCAACACTTTTCGTTCTTTATGAAGTACAAACACATTTGTGTACTTGATTAAAACAGTTTCAGTAATTTTGGTTAGCCAGTGCCAATAGAGAAGTCCAATGATAATGAAGATTCATATATCTCTTGATCATTATAATTTGCTTCAAATCATCCTAATCAATGAAGCAAAAGAAATTTCAAAAATATAATGTTTTATATGTTATATATGCCATGTAAAACTCAGATTTTTAAGAAATATGAAATTGTTAATGTAGTAGGCCAAACTAGAATAGCTTCTCAGTGCCAACATTCAAACATCCACATTCTTGAAGGATGCCTAACTACAAAACTATATTGACGATGACATTATTCTCATTGCTCACAACTAGAAACATACATAAATCTAGATTGTTTTTCTTTTGATCTCTTTTGTACATTATGTCTCCACTCTTCACATGGAATGTCTAGTTAAATTTGATAGTTTGCATCATCTTGCACACCACTATGGATCATATCTGATGAACTTCAGTTAGCAATCCAAAGCCTCCTGGCACAGTATAGCATCATGTGATCTGCTCTCTAACTGAATGCAGAATGGAAATTGGCAATTGGCAATGATGTTCCCAGTGGAAGTTGAGAAGCATTCAGGAAAAGATAAGAAAAACTAATTGCAACTCAATTACTGTCACTAATTTGCATCTGGGGAGAGATGATCAGAGCCAAGAGCCGAAAGAGATATACATATTGAACTGCAATACCAGTTGATCATAAACACCATACTCAGGTCATCAAATTTCTGCCGAGTCTCAGGTAGTCATTGAAAAACTCAAACAACAAAATCTGACCTATTGCCAACATTAATTCACCAGAACTGCAATAAGAAAGTGTGCACACAAATTTTTGTTGTTGACATAGTAGAATCATCGAGTTTCTTGTACTAAAATGAAAACTATGGCAAAACTATAACGTTGCGAAGATCAAATACTACGTATACACAGTTAATAGTAGAGTGTTAAGAAGGTCAAAGAACAACCTTCTCACACTAGTCTTCCCTCCCATTTCATCAGAATGATATGTTACTTCCTTATGTAAACATCTATCAATAAATTTGCATTAAAAAAAATTCTAGACACGCAGAAGAAGTCGATAGTATTAGTAATATTACAGAAGGTAATCAACTTCAAAGTGGAGCACCTTTTAACTAAGATAACTATCATACATAGAAATACCACAAGTCATTCTTAATAAATGCATTCATTTACATCAGGTAGTTGAATTACTATCCAGACATACACATTTAGAAGTTGACATTTGTGTCAAGACTGAACAAAAGAGTTCATATTTCATAATTACGCTGAATTGTTATGTCAATAGGAAGTGACCTAAAGGCGTAACTACTAATCAAGAGTTTTTGGTACCTGAAAGATTACAATATTCTTGTATTAAGCGGCTCTCTAAACAGGAATTTCTCCTGCATAATTTCCCAAAAGGAAAGTTTCAAACAATAATGCTATTATAATACAA